GTACCTCGTGTGTGCGGCGGTTGCGGCTGCGGTCGTTTCTGTCGCGAATGTGTTCCTCCTCTGTGTTCTGCAAAGAGCGGTTGTTCCTGTGTGTGTAGTTCTTTGCGTTTTTTGAATCTGTGGTTGCAGATCACGGTGAAATGGCTGCATGACTGTCGTCATCCGATGTTGCCACGTGCGTAGATACGTGCAGGTTTGCGACGTGACGATGCAAAACGCATTGTAATGGCTGCGTCAAGGTTGCTTGACACTGCGCCTGCATGCGTCATGCTATTGTCTTTTGCAGCTGGATCTCGTAAATCGTATTGGAGTGGCTGCAAGAAGGCTGCGACAGTGATTTGTCAGTAGATTTTCTCCATTTTGGCGCTAGAAATTTTCCTTTTAAAAATCCTTTTAAAAAGTGCTTCAAAATCGTCTTTTTCTCGGTTTGGCGTCGAGATCCGGTTTTGAACTGCAATTTCCGACGCCGTTGCGCGTAGTTCTATTGCGTTTTGCAACTCAGTCTCTGCAGATCGCATTGTAATGGCTGCGTCAAGGTTGCTTGGCACTGCGCCTGCATGCGTCATACTATTGTCTTTTGCAGCTGGATCTCGTAAATCATATTGGAGTGGCTGCAAGAAGGCTGCGACAGTGATTTGTCAGTAGATTTTCTCCATTTTGGCACTAGTAATTTTCCTTTTGAAATTCCTTTTAAAAAGTGCTGCAAAATCGTATAATAATCGTTGTGGCGTCGAGCTCCGGTTTTGGAGCTGCACTTTCAGACGCTGTTGCACCTTTTGTGTTTTGCAACTCGGTCTCTGCAGATCGCATTGTAATGGCTGCGTCAAGGTTGCTTGGCACTGTGCCTGCATGCGTCATACTATTGTCTTTTGCAGCTGGACTTCGTAAATCGTATTGGAGTGGCTGCATGAAGGCTGCGACAGTGATTTGTCAGTAGATTTTCTCCATTTTGGCACTAGTAATTTTCCTTTTCAAAATCCTTGTAAAAAGTGTTGCAAAATCGTATAATTATTGTTGTGGCGTCGAGCTCCGGTTTTGGAGCTGCAATTTCCGACGCCGTTGCGCGTAGTTCTATTGTGTTTTGCAACTCAGCCTCTGCAGATCGCATTGTAATGGCTGCGTCAAGGTTGCTTGGCACTGCGCCTGCATGCGTCATACTATTGTCTTTCGCAGCTGGGTCTCGTAAATCATCAAAGGAAGTTGGGAAGCAATACTTCCGTGTTACGGACAAATAGAATTCTGCGACTTGAAATGATGCAGGGTGGTAGGTCGCATAACAATACATAACAAAAGAATAAGAAGCAGTTATTGACGGGTGGTGACGAAGGGAAGTGGTGACGAAGGGAAGTGGTGACGATGGGAGTGGTGAGGAAGGGAAGTGGTGAGGAAGGGAAGTGGTGAGGAAGGCAAGTGGTGACGAAGGGAAGTGGTGAAGAAGGGAAGTGATGATGAAGGGGAGTGGTGACGAAGGGAAGTGGTGAGGAAGGGAAGTGGTGAAGAAGGGAAGTGGTGGCGAAGGGAAGCGGTGAAGAAGGGAAGTGATGATGAAGGGGAGTGGTGACGAAGGGAAGTGGTGAGGAAGGGAAGTGGTGACGAAGGGAAGCGGTGAAGAAGGGAAGTGATGATGAAGGGGAGTGGTGACGAAGGGAAGTGGTGAGGAAGGGAAGCGGTGACGAAGGGAAGTGGAGAGGAAGAGAAGTGATGATGAAGGGGAGTGGTGAGGAAGGGAACTGGCAACCATGAAGGGGAGTGGTGCATGATGTTGCAAGGGCTCTGTTTTGGGGAGGAAGCCGGAGCACGAAACCTTGTTTTTCCGTGTAAAGTGGCTGCAGGCGACGATGAAAGGTACCGCGTCTGTGCGGCGGTTGCGGCTGGGGTCGGTTTATCGCTTTTTTGTTTGCCGCAGTGTAACGGTGGCTTCAAGCTGCTTTGGGTGTGCTTGTGTGTGCGTAGTTATAGGGTGTTTTGGAATCTGTGCTTGCAGATCGCATTGGAATGGCTGCATGATGTTGCAAGGGCTCTGTTTTGGGGAGGAAGCCGGAGCACGAAACCTTGTGTTTTTCCGTGTAAAGTGGCTGCAGGCGACGATGGAAGGTACCTCGTCTGTGCGGCGGTTGCGGCTGCGGTCGGTTTATCGTTTTTTTTTTGCCGCAGTGTAACGGTGGCTTCAAGCTGCTTTGGGTGTGCTTGTGTGTGCGTAGTTATAGGGTGTTTTGGAATCTGTGCTTGCAGATCGCATTGGAATGGCTGCATGATGTTGCAAGGGGTCTGTTTTGGGGAGGAAGCCGGAGCACGAAACCTTGTGTTTTTCCGTGTAAAGTGGCTGCAGGCGACGATGAAAGGTACCTCGTCTGTGCGGCGGGTGCGGCTGCGGTCGGTTTGTCGTTTTTTTTTTGCCGCAGTGTAAAGGTGGCTTGAAGCTACTTTGGGTGTGCTTGTGTGTGCGTAGTTATAGGGTGTTTTGGAATCTGTGCTTGCAGATCGCATTGGAATGGCTGCATGATGTTGCAAGGGCTCTGTTTTGGGGAGGAAGCCGGAGCACGAAACCTTGCGTTTTTCCGTGTAAAGTGGCTGCAGCCGGCGATGAAAGGTACCTCGTCTGTGCGGCGGGTGCGGCTGCGGTCGGTTTGTCGTTTTTTTTTTGCCGCAGTGTAACGGTGGCTTCAAGCTGCTTTGGGTGTGCTTGTGTGTGCTTAGTTATAGGGTGTTTTGGAATCTCCGGTGGCAGATCGCATTGGAATGGCTGCATGATGTTGCATGGGCTATGTTTTGGGGAGGAAGCCGGAGCACGAAACCTTGTGTTTTTCCGTGTAAAGTGGCTGCAGGCGACGATGGAAGGTACCTCGTGTGCGGCCGTTGCGGCTGCGGTCGGTTTGCCTTTTTTTTTGCCACAGTGTAACGGTGGCTGCAAGCTGCTTTGGGTGTGGTTGTGTGTGCGTAGTTATAAGGTGTTTTGGAATCTCCGGTTGCAGATCGCAGTGTACTGGCTGCGTCAAGGCTGCTTGGTGCAGCGGCTGCATGCGTAATACTATTGTCTTTTGCAGCTGAAGATCGTAAATCGTATTGGAATGGCTGCATCAAGGCTGCGAAAGTGATTTGTCAGCAGATTTTCTCAATTTTGGCGCTAATAATTTTCCTTTTGAAATTCCTTTTAAAAATTGCTTCAAAATCGTCTTTTTGTCGCTTTGGCGTCGAGATCCGGTTTTGGAGCTGCAATTTCCGACGCCATTGTACGTAGTTCTATTGTGTTTTGCAACTCAGTCTCTGCAGATCGCATTGTAGTGGCTGCGTCAAGGTTGCTTGGTGCAGCGGCTGCATGCGTCATACTATTGTCTTTTGCAGCTGAAGATCGTAAATCGTATTGGAGTGGCTGCACCCAGGCTGCGTAGCGATTCGTCAGCAAATTTTCTCAATTTTGGCGCTAATAATTTTCCTTTTGAAATTCCTTTTAAAAAGTGCTTCAAAATCGTCTTTTTGTCGCTTTGGCGTCGAGATCCAGTTCCTTAGTAGTAGTACTGGGAAGTGATTCATGAAAGCTTAGATGACATATGAGAAGAGATGAGCTGGGATAAGGTGAGAAGAGCTCAGATGAGATGAAGTGTGGAGTGTGAAGGGTGCAGTGTGAAGTGTGGGGCGTGAAGAGTGCAGTGTGAAGTGTGGAGTGTTAAGTGTGAAGTGTGGACTGTTAAGTGTGGACTGTTAAGTGTGGACTGTGAAGTGTGAAGTGTGGACTGTGAAGTGTGAAGTGTGGAGTGCGAAGTGTGAAGTGTGGACTGTGAAGTGTGAAGTGTGGAGTGCGAAGTGTGAAGTGTGGAGTGTGAAGTGTGAAGTGTGGAGTGCGAAGTGTGAAGTGTGGAGTGTGCAGTGGGAAGCGTGCAGTGTGAAGTGTGGAGTGTGAAGTGTGGAGTGTGAAGTGTGAAGTGTGGAGTGTGGAGTGTGCAGTGCGCAGAGTGCAGTGTGAAGAGTGCAGTGTGTAGTGTGGAGTGTGAAGACTGTCAGGTGTGAAGTGTGACGTGGAGCTTCAAATGTGACATGTGAAATAAGACACCAGTTTCGCAGAGTGCACGCATGCACGGGCTTCGCTGGCGCACGGCGCATGCAAGTTCTATAGATGAGAAAGGTCTTATATATATCTTTAAGGCAACTTCCGCCCCGCCTCGTGCGGGTACTACTGGTATTGGAGTGGCTGCAAGAAGGCTGCGACAGTGATTTGTCAGTAGATTTTCTCCATTTTGGCACTAGTAATTTTCCTTTTAAAAATCCTTGTAAAAAGTGCTGCAAAATCGTATAATAATCGTTGTGGCGTCGAGCTCCGGTTTTGGAGCTGCAATTTCAGACGCTGTTGTACCTTTTGTGTTTCGCAACTCGGTCTCTGGAGTCTGTTTTCCAAAGATGTCTAGGAACAAGGTATCGAACTCTTGATAAGAAACCACGGTGGCGATGTGTTGCTAAAGAAATCATTTCAAAAAAGGCTTCTGTATGGACGTTGCACAATCTTAGTATTACACATGAAAGATGAAACAACTATGTTGGCATGGCGGATGGAAGAATGTGATGGGTTCTATTTTTGTGGTAGTGTCATCTATGTGTAGTTGACTTCGGCCGACCCACAGAAAAAGTCATGCTGTGATGCTCGCAGCTGTGTTTGGCTTCAATGAAGGGTATGCAATCAATGATGATGCATGACGGGGTGTGAATGCAATCAAGATTTCAAGAAGGCATGCAATAAAGATTTCAAGAAAGCAGCAAAGAAAGAATTGAGGATTGCCATTTATTTGCTACAAAACACGTTCCTGTTTCCGCTGTTTCCGAGACATGACAGTGCGGTCTGTCGCTTGTGCCATGGCTGGGGCTGCGCTTCCTGCTGCGCAGGCTGTCCGGGGTCAATTGTTGACCGATTACAAAGCGAACATTCGCAAGCATTTGGAGGTGCAGGCCACTCTGGCAAGCAGCCGCTGCATTGCTTGTAAGAGAAGTGACAGCACGACATGCTTTTATTCTCAGGCTGGTCGAACTGAATATGACAGAACAGGTGTCTGTGAAAGCTGCTGGGATTGCATGTTCGATCCTGCAAATGGTAGGCAGGAACAGCTCCAGGAGTGCGATAAACTGAGCACCACTGGTGTAAAACAAGTGATTCACTGGATAGTGCTGGCAAAAGCACGCAACACACTGACAGTCAGCCAACAAGACTATGTTTGGATTACTGATGTCAACGCTGGCAGAAGAAGGTTTGGTAATCCTTTTGTTTGATGCTTCACACATGCAATATCCTTGCCTTCGGGCATGCCAGTGCAGGCTGCGTCGAAGCAAGGCATGGACTTTCTGGCAAGGGACATGGAGTTAGTTGTCTGGTGACGCAAAGTTTCTCTTCATCAGTGTGAGCTAAGGGATCGCTTGAGAGAGGCAGCATCGTGGCAGAGGAAAATATAATTTGGGTTTCGGTACTTTCACAAGACGTGGATCGACCCTTGTTGCCCCTATTTGCATTCGTTCATTGTCGTTTCGTCATGAACATTTTCAAAAGCGGTTCAGCGAATGCGTGCCTGGACTCATTTTAGATGTTTTTGGCCTTCCATGGATGCTGGCTAGCATGTGATACGTGGACTGCTTTTAGATATGTTTTGTACAAACATGCTTTTCAGAATATGTCCTGGAAAGGGGGTTCCATGGAAGTTGCAGAAAAAAAGGTATGATGACAATTTGAAGCTGTGGCATCTGGTTCAAGTTGTTCTGTTATCATTTTTTCATGTCAATGAAGCAAGCAGATATGTGATGATGCTCATGCATCAACAGCACATAAATGAAGCAACGGCATGACTTTCAAAGACTGTCACAAGCAAATGCTGATGTATGTATCATGTGTTAACTCATTTCATGACTCGACTTGAGCAAAGGAATAGTTCGTGCGTGAGCAAGTTCCGCGGCAGTGCGGCCCGGACTTGCGAGCCCGCGTCGTGCAATTTCTGGGCACGGCAGTGCGGCCTGCTCACTGACACGTCCTGCAGCCATGGTGGAACCGGATGCTTTTGCGCAGCTGCTGTCATACGTCGAAAAGGAAACAGAGACATTGAAGCGTCTTCAATGCAACACTTTGATAGAATGTTTACGGACCGGAAGAGCAAATAGCAAACGCGAAGGAAATTCTGAACGATTCAGGCATTACATGAAGTGTGGAGTGTGAAGAGTGCAGTGAGTGGAGCTTCAAATGTGACATGTGAAACAGGACACCACTTTCGCAGAATGCACGCACGGGCTTGGCTGGCGCACGGCGCATGCAAGTTCTATAGATGAGAAAGGTCCTGTGCTGTCGTTGTGTTGTCCTTTTGCTTACGGGTGCTCCGGTGAGGAAGGGCGCTGGTAAAACGGTAAAACGGTAAAACGGTGAAACGGTAAAACGGTAAAACGGTAAAACGGTAAAAGGCAGAGGCGACCAGTGGCGACGGTAAAACGGTAAAACGGTAAAACGGTAAAAGGCAGCAGTGACCAGGGACGAAGGCAAAACGGTCAAAGGGTAAAATGGTAAAAGGCAGAGACTCTTCCACGTTACTTACGGAGTTCTAGAAATCTATTGCAGTAGACTAGGGTAGGGTAGGCTAGGGTAGAGTAGAGTAGCATAGAGCGTCGTAGAGTAGAGCAGAGTAGAGAAGAGTAGAGTAGAGCAGAGTAGAGCAGCGTAACGTAGAGTAGAGGAGGGACGAGCAGAGTAGAGTGGCGAAACTATTTCCTCCTACGTATTCTGCTTCAAAATTATGAAACGACGGAGCATGTGCACTTGCCAAATGTCTGATCCTTTAGGCATGCTTCTTTTCCCGCAAAAAACCTGCATCCCACTGGCTGAAATCGATTGATCTGCCTCGTTTGAGGTCTGACAATGGAATCTACTATGAATATATACCTAAGGCAACTTCCGCCCCGCCTCGTGCGGGTACTACTGGTATTAACTAAAATGGGGAGATGATTTGATGTAACCAACAGCTGTTTGTTTCTTTTCGACACCTGTCTCAACACGAGCCAGGACGACTTGCCATGTGTCGTGGTGGACCTCAGGTCCGCTCAAAAGCAAAGCGAGGTCGCCTGCTTGTGAGGATGCTCATCAAATCATGCTGTATGTATATATATATTGCGAAGCAGCCTCGCTTCAACAGCAGCCACCACCAGCAAACACCGTATGCTGTTTTCCCACCAATGGCTCAATCCGCACCGCTGCCCACCGCTGGAGGTGAACCAATAGTTGCGGCCAAGGTGCAAATGGTAAACAACCTCCCTGACATGTAAGACCATGGGAAAACAAGGACTGCCAAGATCGCAGCTGAGGTCCAACCGTCAAGCTCACCAGGACAATAAACTGTGGAAGTTTCACACACCCCTTACTTTAAAAATGGTCTTACCTGTCCAGAGGTTTGACATCTTTGCATGTCCTCTCGTGCCAGGCCAAAAATCCTTATTGTACCATCTATGCCCGTTCGAATCACAACCATGAGTTACTCTCTCCAACCCCAAGGTTCTAAGATCAACAGGACAATCCAGAATTCCTACAGGAGAAAACAACTGATATCTTGGGACATGATGTACGCGGATAACCTGGCCACTTGAGTCCTGTTCCCATGTGTCCTGCCGGACTTCTTCTGTACATTTCAAAACTGTCTCATTTTCTGGAGACTTGGACGTCACTTCTTTGGCCCATTTCAAACGCTGTCGCTTGTCAGATCTCTGTTGCAACACTCGATTTTCATCAAACAAAGAATACCGACCACTCTTCAAACACTGTCGCAAAACGCTTGCATCCATGCTCTTTGTCAAACAATCTGCAAGCTGAGCATTTGATGTAACCCATCTCACTACGCAATTGGCCTGCAATCTTTCTCTGATGAGCAAACACTCAATGGTGGTCCTATGCTCCTCACACTGTGGAACGGCCGTGCGAGTCAGAAGGTCATAGGCACTCTTACAGCCGGTCACAAGAGCAGCTTGTCGGGCTTCGTGCAACACTTTCTCGGGGGACTGCCATTCAATCGAGGGGTTATTCAACCACTGCCACAAAATCCTCAACCACAACAAACGATCAACATTCCCACTCAATGCCACTGCTTCAGCCCCCAAGGTGCTCCTAGTCACCCGTTGAATTTTCTTGCTCATCCAAGCTACTGGTGCTACCACTGATCTCTTGTTCTCCAGCAACTCTGGAGTCGTGACAAAAATCAAACCTCCCTGATGGGCATATTTCTCTTTTCCTGAAAGGAACGAGGCATCGGAGAAGGCACAGAAAGTCACTTGTTCAGGGGCAATCGGCAATGTCATTAAAGTCACAGGGTGAACCTTTGCCTCATGCAACACTCGATTTGCAAAAATCATGTCATCGACTGTTGCCTTTGCCACCCTACTTTGGATCTCTCCAACTTTGGCCGCAATGTCGGGACGGGTATGGACTGCTGCATATTGCAGAGCTCCAACAAGACTTCGCAACTGCGTCACTTCACTCGGGCTCAGCGCAGCTTCAGCATTGGTACGTCTCTGTTTTGGGATTTCAATTGGCCTAATCTTCTCTATATAGTCAATCTGATCATACTCCACACTGCAATCATCCCACTGCTGAAACCTTATGCCCGTGAAGACAAAGGACCCTTTTTCAAATGATCCAAAACTGAAACGCTTTCTGACTCTTTCCAAGGCTGCCATAAACATGTTGTCCCCACCCCCAATGCCATCATCGACATGAACCCCTAGGGAACCATGAACTCTTTCTTTCCCCTTTTCATCAACAGAAACAAGAGTAAAAACACAAGGATCAAAAGGACACTGTTTAAAACCTTCTTGCAACAACGAGTCACGAAACTTACAATACCACAAATAAGGAGCATCAACACGACCATACGCACTACCTACCAATTGACACTGATCACCAGGTTCCAACCCAAGGGCTTCTGTTAACTCTGGGGTGGGATACAAACCAAGCAAGCGGCCGTCTCCTTCGCCTTGAAGAAAGGCAGTTGAGACATCGAAGGAAACTAGTTCCCAACCATGACTACTCACCTGTTGCACCACCATCTGTCTTCCATCTTTGGTGAGTGTGGGTGAATCATTTTGAACCACCCCAACTCCAGGATCCTCGTATCCAACAACAATCAACCGGGCCTTTGCCTTACGACCCTCACTCACATCCTTGGGGTGATCCTCAGGTGAGGCTGATTTCCAGGTGAGCAGCCATCGGCAGCGCATGATTGCTTCCTCAGGATTTTTTCCTTTGGATGCTTTTCTCACAGTTCCATGTTTGAGACAGGCGCCTATTTCTTTGTGCTTGGCCACCGCCATGCGCTGTTGGTCAGCACTGCTTAAATCACTCAGACGGACTTCAACTCGTTTCTTCTTTGCTCCAGTCACCAACAACACACTTTCATCTGCTGATCCAGCGCAAAACAGTGCATGCTCTTCATGGTTTTCAACAGGAATTTCAATCTCCCAGAACTGGCAACACCTATCATCTGCAGACATGGTGATGTCATCTCCAAACAGAAGGTCATCCGTTGGTTCAAGATTGACGCCCGCCTGTGAGGCATCACCATCGGACTCACTGACACTTTCTGGAACCGGCACACGCACGTAATCAGGGAGTTCATTCTCTGACTGTTCCACTCCTTGAGGCGGTTCAGACTGATTGCTCAACTCCCCATTAGGTGTCCCAGGTGGCTGAACTGACAACTCTCCTTCGGGCTCCCCAATTGATGGGTCATATCCCTCTGTTTCAGCTTCCCAGTCAGGAAAATCCTCCCCATCTACATCAATGAAACTGCCATCATTGAGGGCTCTCTGTAAATCTGAGTTCCCTGGGCCAGACTCTGTGAGCAACTCTTTGGCCTGCTTCCACTCCCGAAAACTAGCTGCACGAAGTTGCTCAGGGCTCGTGCGCACTAGCTTTCCAGCATGATTCAACCAAACATTCTTGGACCCTTCGACTGCAACAACACTCGCTGGCCCATACCAGCGACCACGATCTCTACGTAGATTGGCACCCCTCCTACGCCAATACAACACAAGATCTCCTATTTCAAAGGGTCCTCGCATTGGCCGAGTCCGCCTCAAAAGCGCACGACGAAGACTGGATGAATTATCAGCTTCTATGAAAGCTCTGCGTGCACTGCTGCGTCTTTCCAGACTGGCTCGAAAGGCTTCGCTCTCGGGACCAGTCCCTTCAGCCAGAGTTATACTTCCTACCCCCTGACTAGAGACAACGGACCCAGGCAATCTTTTGGCAATTCCAAGGACAGCTTGTTCGGGAGAGTATCCCTTCACTCTGGATAAACTGTTCTTGGCATTGAACACATGAACCAAAGCCTGCTCAAACTCCCCAACCGAGTTTATTGGTGACTCCAAATCCATGCGACTCAACATCTTCTTCACAACTGATCCGTGAATTTCCACTCTCCCCACTTGCCAGTGTGCTTCACTTGCACTGACTTTGACATGGATGTCATGCCTTTGCATTCTGTCCTGCCATGCTTCTGCCGTATATTCCGTGCCAGGGTCAACATACACAACTTGTGGAGTGCCAGCCCATAACATCCAACATTTCTCAAAGACTCGAATTTGAGAATCTGTGTCCGCACTGACAACATGAGAACCAACATGAAACAAAGTCCCTTCATCAATGATATGAGAAAACTGAAAGTTCTTACCAACACTATTAGTCCAAACAGCAGTGTCCATACCAATCACTTGATTGAATCCCAGATTCTCATGAATTGTGCCAGGACGGGTGGAGTCTGGACCAGCTTTTGTTTCCGCACAACTGTCGCACTGATAATCCAGAGCTCCTTGAACCAAATGAGGTTCCGCATGCCTTTCCTTCAAAAACCAGGCAAACTTCTGTGGATGTGGATGGCCTAAGTTGTGATGCAACCTCCGAATCTGAGCCTTTTCATCACCATTCAACAACATGTACCCTGGTCCATGAACCGGAACATTCTTGGGAGGGTCTTTACTTACCACAACAACATCTTCACCATCATCCCCAGTACCTGCTTCCTTATCAGACCCCATTGTCTCAAGCTCCCCTGACTTTGGAAAACTTCCAAAAATGGTGAGGCTCATCTTTGCAGATTGACCCTTTCGAATTTGCTGCCTTTTTGGCAGAGCAGACCATTCCTCAGCTGGGCCAAGTACCATTGACTGACCCGTGATGCGGTCTTTGACCACGGTCAATCTCAACGGGATGGTTTCTGGGTCCGCATCAGCTCCAGGGAGGCGCAACCTCTCAGTGCCCCTACAGGCTTCAACCCTCTGAACCTTCAAGTTTGGGGCCCCCTTCTGAATCTGAGCTAAAACCCCATCATCATCCAAAACACGTTTGCCTACCCGTGGAACCATGGTTTCAATTTTCTTAAAAATGCCATCCCAATATTCACCGGCTGCACATCCGTGGTCACCTGCTGGTGTCTGTTTGCAGTGATACCTTGGACGCTTCACTTCTGCTGAAACCGGCTCTTCTAAGCTCTCTGGAACTGCTGCAGCGGACACTCTTTTTCTTTTGACAACTCCGGCAACAAAAGCTTCATCAACATCACAAACATGCAACTCATCCAAAACCAGTGGCTTCTCATCAAACCTACAGGAAACATACCTTGCCACATTCCTACCAAAACCGGAGGTGTACCTTGCAGCATATTCCGAGAGAGAAATCCACCGACCCAAATGATAGATCTTGCCAGCAATTGGAGCATGCTTATGATGCCCAGGACACAATCGGTGGTCAAATGCATCATGGAAAATCTTTGAGGAAGTGTAGACATGCGTCCTTTCCCTAAGGAAATTGTTTCCAGACACTCGTCGCATCACATGTGGGGCAAGTAGTTTTCCAACTTCACACATATCAAAAACAGTACACAGGGTCCCACAGTAAATATCATAGACTTCCGGTTGATAAATCAACTCCGACCCTTGGGGTTGTTCCAAATGAAATTGACCACCACAATCCATCTGATACCAATACACATCATTACAAAGCTTCAAATGAACACGTTGCTTCTTGCGACCCTCTGAAATCATTTGTTCTGTGCTTTTGCTCCTGCCCATGTTTCTGCGACTGAAGTTGCCCCAATATTTGCATTCTGGTGCCATCCAGACTTCTCTCGGTCGCTCTTCCTCCAAAACTTTCCAAAGCGCAGCTTGACCTTCTGGTGTAGAAAGATCTCCATCACTGAAAGTGAATCTTCTGGCCTTCAATCCCAGCTTACAAGCTTGTTCTGTGATTTGAGAATGTTCTTCACAATAGATCTCCAGAAGATCACTTCCAAACTTCTGGAAAGTCTGAGAGTCGGTCGGCGTCGGCCATATCTTTTGAAGACAGGTCAGCTCTGCTTCAATTGTTCCCATTGCTAGTTCAATCTTTTTGAGCAATTGGTTGGTCAATTGCTGATCTGTCTCGAGTTGCTCTACGCTAGACCTCTCATTCAGACTCCCTCCAAGTCGGCCTTGATCTTGTCCATCTCGCGCTGCAAGATCGCCATGCGAGTGATCATCTCCTCTTTCTGCTGCACCTCGATCGCCATCTGCGACTGCTCTTCTTCCATGGGGCGCTTCTGACTTGGTGATGACATGGTGCTCATCGGACGCGATGTCACCCCTCCTGTCAACAGCTCCCACTCTGGTCCTTGACTCTTCTCGATCTCTGCCTTCGGATACATCTTGGACATCTCGGCTTTGGCCCACTGTCTGGCATACTCCTGGTAGAAGGCCTTCGAGCAATCTTCCTGCATCCTGTCCATGGCTTCCACGTAAGCCTGAAAACTCAGTGCCCAAGCTGACACCAGTTTCCTGTGCTCCTTCATGAACTTGCCGTACTTTGGGTCCTCCTGGTATGCCTGAAAGAAGGACTTGTGCCGCCACTTCCCTTCCGGGAACTTCAACTGACCCCACTCCTTCAAGGTCATCACACCTGGAGGGCGACGACTTTTGATCTCTGGTAGTTGTCGATCTTCGAAGGCCAGAGAGGCATCCACTTCTCCGGACAGCATCGCATCTAGCATCTCTGTCTGGAGTCCCGGAAATGGCGTTCCCGAGGCACTTGGAAGAGTCATGGCTGTCAGCTTGAGAAAGAGCGGACTGACTTTGAAGCCGATCTGGTTCTCGGTCAACTTGAGGTTGAGCCACCGCAGCTGTAGCAGTCGTCGAAGATGTACTTGACATTGTGTTTGGCTGCTGCTGCTGCTGCTTGTGTGTGCAGTAAACCTCCCTACTTCGATTTTCAATTCTACTACTTGCCAAAGTGATGACTTCCTCAAACTTTTCTGAATTACTTCTCATGCTAGCCGCATCAATCAAGTCTGACAACTTGACAATAAACAGCCCCTTGGCATTTCTGGTGAGTGTCACGGATTTTCCCCAAGAAGACACTTCCAAACAGGATTTACTCACCAGAACATCTGCGCCAAGTGCATGAAGAAAGGCATTTGAAATGAGGAAAGGCGTGGTTCCTTGAACCACTTCAATTTTCATCCATTGTTTCCCAAACGGTACAAACAGCGCACCAACACTCTTCAAAACACCATTGTTACCAAATCTAAAAACGGTTTCAGATTCCTTCCACTTAACCATCTCACGGTGTTCTGCCTTCAAAGTAGTCAAAAGTGCACTCACTCGCTTTTCGCCGATCACGGACTTGCTTGCACCGGTATCTATGATCCCAGTGCCTGAGTCACCTAAGCTGCCATTCCTACTTTCCTCAGTTGACTCAGGGGACCTGCCAGTGACACTGAAGCTTGTCTCAATTGCTCGACGAAACATTTCTTTCAGTTTGGGAAAATATTTCAAACTCTTTTCACAACATGACTTCCCTTTGGGAATGTTGATCGCATGCAAAATCATTTCATGGGAACCTATTAAACTGAATTCTTCATTATCAACATGGTACTCAGGTGGCACCATCGTGGGCAACCAAAATTTTGAACACATCCCCACCTGCCAATTGGCAAGATCATGGCCAGGAAGTTCATCAAGAAGTTCACCACCCCCTGAGAGCTCTTCCGTGAGGATCACGTTCGCATCTGCAGTCACATTCTTGTCCTTCAGCGGGCACTCATCCTTCCAGTGGCCTCGTGCTCCACAGGCGCGACAGGTAGAGCTTGCTATGCGCTCTGCAAGACTCTGATACTTTCTGGGGCCTTTGCCCTTCTTTGACTTGTTCTTGCCTTTCCCTTTTCCATGACGAAGGGGCCAAAACCCTCGGCTGCGAAATTTGTCTCGAAGCTTCTGTCGTGCCTCCTGGTACGTGGAGAACGCCATGGCCAGTTCAGGTGAATCCTGACAAACATGGATCACCTGATCCTCGAACTCTTGTATGGCAAGTGCTGTCTCATCACCTTCCTCGATGAGCATGGCTAAGGCTTGCTCTTCATCACATTCTTCTTCAGCTGCATAGTGAATTTCATCCAACTCCTCTTCCACAAAGTTGGCTGGATACACCTTCTTGCGTCCAGCATCTGTCTGCCCAAGCACTTTGGTCGACAGGGACCTCATTGCCTTTTCCACTGCCGACGGATCATAGTTGCCTGCCATAGAGACCACACGCTTCTTGTCCTCAACAGTCAAGGCACTCTGTCTCAACATCACGAAGGCTCGAACTTGTTGGACGGTTGTTTCAGAGCCCACTTCTTCGAAAGCAACATTGATTCGGTTGACAAACGACATTGCTGACTCGTCTGTCTTTTGGACTACTCGGTAAAACGCCTTCTCAAATTTGTCAAAGGTCTGAAGTTCCTCGGCATCCTCCCAGGTCTCCAAAGCTTTCAACAGTACCTTGTAACCAGTCTCAGGGTCTGTCAACTTCGACGCATCAATGGCTCTCACCTGACTCCATGCAGTCCCTTTGCACTGCAAAGCCAACCTTGGTGCCAACATACTTCTGTCCTTCACAGGGCATATGCCCCATAGAAACTTCACCTTGTCCGCATACTCTTTGGCGCTATCGACACTAGGGTCGAAACTCGGCAACAAGCTCCACAAGTTGCTCGTCTTCTCTTCCACACTCACACTTCCACCAGGCTGTCCCTCAGCCCCGTCTGGCATCTTCCCAAGACGCTTCCACCTTTATTTTTCACTACCCAGTCGCCTCCTCCAGCGCCAGCCCGCAGGCTCCGCTGCCAATGCGAAGCAGCCTCGCTTCAACAGCAGCCACCACCAGCAAACACCGTATGCTGTTTTCCCACCAATGGCTCAATCCGCACCGCTGCCCACCGCTGGAGGTGAACCAATAGTTGCGGCCAAGGTGCAAATGGTAAACAACCTCCCTGACATGTATGACCATGGGAAAACAAGGACTGCCAAGATGGCAGCTGAGGTCCAACCGTCAAGCTCACCAGGACAATAAACTGTGGAAGTTTCACATATATATATATATATATATATGCACCCACAAATTTGGTCTATAGTTCTACTATTAAATTCATTCAAACCATCCAAGTTGCGCTCGAGTGTGGTGCCAATCCCATGTTGATCTGCTATCCCTGGGTCCCCAGTGAAATTTGTGGGGGTTGGCGCTGCATTCAAGCCGCATGAGCGATGGATTGAAGGCATCTCCGCTGAAGAGTACTACTGCCTGGCCAGTTTACACAGGAGTACCAGTTCTAATATGTTAGCAGCGAGTTGGAAAACGGTTTTGGGGGGAATTGATAGAGTTGATTAATCCGGAAAAAAGCAGCGCGTGGTCACTGCTCACCAAGCCCGCTGGTCTTTGGCCCTCAACAGCCGTCAGGTCCTTGCCTCGTACTCTCCTCGCGCTACTGATTCTGCCTCCCGGCTAATGTGAAGCTTACTGATCAGGACCTCTTGAATCGTGACACGACTGAAATCCAACATAAGCTGGAAATGGCAAGTTCTAGCAGCATAAAATCCTCTTCCAATGTCATTTGTTGGGGATCCATTCCAGGTTTTACGTGCAAGCCGGGTGAGCAAATGTGTTTGTAATAAATCTCCCTAGAGAAGTTGCCAACGCAAATTCCGCTGTTCAACCCCCTCGGTAATAAATCTATGTTTTTGGTACCCAAAAAAAACTGATCCAAGTGCAACCAGAAGAGGTTTGTTAAATTTCAACAAGAGCCAGAGGCTGATGGTATTTTGTTCATCCTCAAAGGGATCCCGCCTTGAGCTCCTTGATCCGCGTCACAAAACGTGCAATACCACCGACCGGCTCCTGTCGACGATCCATGGGGACTGTTTGGCTCGCTCGTTGGGCCGTGGCAGTTGCGAACCGTTCACCCAAGCTGTGCCAGTGCGCCAGTCCAAGAACACAGAGGACGCAAGTCGAGAGTGAAGGAAACTGTTCGGGAACCGACCGAAAAAATGCGGCAAAAGGAATCTACTCCGGGTGTAGCCAGTCTATCTCTCGAAGCTGTGCATCAAATGATGCTCTCGTGGCATCTCGTGGCATCTCGTGGCTCCTTCGCTCGTGGCTCCACATTGTAGACATCATTGAAGTGCAGAATGGTCATCCGTTTGGGCCTGGATGAATCAGCCAGAAAATCAAGTCTTACTTTAGTATATGGGGCAATCTGAATGGGAAGAGTTATGATAAACAATCAAATTTTGGGGTATATGCTTTAGTCATCTTTAGTCTACGTTGGAACGAAGCCGATCCAATTTGGGGAGTTCAGTACCAGTCGGACAGCAAGCTTAGCATAATATGAACACAACTGTGCATCACATGTCGACCGTAGGAACCCAGTAAAGTTATTGTTTCAATGCGATCTCTTAGGCAAATGAATAGACACAGTCATATGGATGTGTCTGCAAATGGGCACCTATAACATTGTCATTGCCATTTAAACAGGGATACTGTAATGATGACAATGATGATTGACTAGTGGAATTGGGGCTACCCTATTCTCAGACAGACCCACAGGATGTTTGTATGCAGAAAGAAAACTGTCAAATCATGGTTGTTGGAGGTTCGATCTTTGTCTTGGCGATTCTTTGCATCCAAGTTATCTAGCCGAGATCGCCAGAAGAACAGGGCGATTCTTAGAGATGGATATGAGCCTGAAAATAAGACATGATGAAACATGGGCTAACAATCTGCTAATATATTGATGGTCAGAGACTGTCAAGCTACAATCCCTGGAAGTTTATCAGGCGGCGAAATCTCCCTGGCACCTGGCAACATGGACCTGGGTGATCTAAGTTTTTGTTGTTGCTCCTTGAGTCGTGCTGATATTAAGCAATGGCAATACCAACTTGGGACACCATATGGGCAAGCCCGTTGTTCCGGCAGGGGTTGCGAGTCTGAAGAGCTTGGAAGGGCGCCTTTGAAATGACGTCAAGGCTAGATCAAAACATCTACAAATACGAAGGTTGCGCTCTAGATCGAAAGATCAAGCAGGTAGATTGGAATACGTTAGAATCGTTTGAATACTCTGATATTGAGCCGTCGGGCCACATTAGTTCTTTTAGTTCTTCCCCAAGAACTCCCCACCTGTGATGTTGGCAACCCATGGTGATGAGACCCTGAGAGCACTGCTTCTCGCCACCAGCGGTCTCAGTGGTCCAATTTGTCAACTTCTGCCTGTGACGCATCAGCATTCCCAGTCATTGAAATGCATTCCATGTAGAACCGCTGTTAATTCAAGAAGACATAGGGGAGAGTCTCAAATCTGAATCCTGGCCCAAAGTGCTGTCTTAGGTTCATTTGTATGGGATTTATATGGGATGTATATGGGATTTGTATGGGATGAACCCGGTATCACGGGGATATTTAGAAATCACAATGCTGAGTGCCATAGTTTTGTTTTCCGCCGACGGGACTGGGCCGGGTGAAACAACTGGCGGTCATCTCCACAACGGGCGATCACAAACGTGGATCATCATCTCCGGATCCCGCTCTGAAAATAGCTACATGGAAAATCACGGTTTAAAAAAAGTTTTTATCAAGTTGAATCATCATAGTTTCCATCTTTAGGTGATCATTTGATGGTTGTACTGACTTGTACTTGCTTCTATCTCAGCGACATTTTCTAATGCTCGCCCGTTGAGGGCTACGGTGCAACGGCACCTTGAAGATGCTCCACGGCACTTCGCCGTGCGCCATGTGAGTCAAGTCGTGTAGCCAAAATCGACCATAAAATCTCTGTATATCTCTGAAAAAAAAGCCTCTCTGTCACTGCCAGATTCTTGTGGCTTGATGTGGCTTGGTGGTACATCAATATAGATCCGATCCAGTAGTTGAACATATGGCTTCACTGGGCCATTCTGCGCTGGTCGACCTAGACCTATCAACTCAGAAAGCGTTGAATTCGGCGTGCCACGTCTTCTCGGTGTTGACCTGGGGTGAAGTGCCAGCATCAGGTATCCTATGCGGCCCATGACACATTTTTATCCCAAGATGGCTATGGCTCAAAATTGTTGACTCCGAAATTGGATGGCACTAAAAATGATGAATTCCACAGATCCATTGGCGCCTCAATGTATCAACAAATCGAATATGTGAAGATGTTCTTGATCGTCGCTCCCATCAGCTCATGACACATCCCGAATTCAAAGACCAAAACTAAAACGAAATCAAACACCTGAAACACCAATGCTTCTGAAGTGACAGGCACCATGGCCAACCGTGGGTAGCCACATGATGCCTCGGCGCTTTCTCAAGGGGTGCAAAAAGGCAATCCAGAATCAAGGCAGTGGGGATCTTACCATCTGGTGATTTGGGATAGGACACAATGGGATATCCTCAAGAATCTGGATACATTGTAGTACTGTGATTAACTAACCATAGCTAACCTGAAAAGTCAGGCCCACAATCCTGCGCAACAGCCGTCCCCCCACCCAAGAGCAGGCTGGAAAGTCAGGCTACTTTGGCAGAGTTACCCCTACATTCACCATCATTCCAGTGACGTCGCAGTTAGCTCCTTATAATTTATCCAGATCGGTGCCCAGAGCGCAGGGCTTCTCAACTAGACTCGACAGTTCCTACAATCTTGCAGGTCGGGACGTGCACTTCTACGATCTGAATGACCCTCCATTGAACTTCTTACTCTGAGAAGTGCTCTCAGCAAAGTGCGCAAGAACCGTTCTGCATCAAGACAACAACTAAGCCTAATGTGGAAACCCCAAGAATCGACCATCCCATACCATCCCATACCATCCCTAGTTTCACCAGAAATGGCTAGAAATGGCTGGTCCAAACCATCGAGACAAGCTGCTTCCCTCAGGCTCAAGCTCCGCACGAAGTTGCGCCGAAGGGATCCTTGGGCCGCCAGGGGTCGTGCAAGGTCAGCAAGCCGCTTTCAGTGGCAGACTTACACTTTTTGCCCTTGGTAAGCTTGGGTATGGACAAGCATTCAGCATTGAGTACTAAGGCAAGGCACATGGTATCTGTCTCTGCCTTAGCGACTCTTGGGCCGGTCGCGCGCGGAGTCGGAAACTTCGGACACAACCGGAAAACGTGATGAGGTCCAGGCAACGACCGTCAGTAACCTGAGAGGGAATGGCCTGTGGCCTGTGGTACTAGGGAAAATCACCTTTTTCGGGTGAAGCATCCAATATTTTTGGGTGATTTCCCATAGCTATGTTACATGACCAGTGGGTAAGTCACGGAGATGTCCAATGATCCGAAATGGTGAGTTATGGATAATGAATGGTGATTTCATGGGAAAAATGATGATCAACCAGTGGATGATGCTGGGGGTAGCACCCATGACAAGCCGATGATCTGACCATAGTGCAGGAATCCCAGGTATATATGTATATATAATAGATATATAATATGATATATATGTATATATAATAGATATATTTATATAATCGATATACAAAACGATAACCCATTGTTAGAAGATTGCATATTAAACAACCTTATGAAATGATCCAGTCATTTTTGGGATATACCGGTGTTCACCACTTGGCAGCTTTCGTCCGCGCCTCTGTTGCCGATTCATCTCCAGCAGCAGGCCACGGTCCAAATATTCTGGGCCGAAGAGCGCCCGATTGTTGACCCAGCCTCAGGGCTGTGGCAATCATCTGCCAGTTATATAAAATAGTGTGTTATCTTAGTGTTTACCTTAGTTATCTTACTGTTAATTACACAAAAAATAATCAAAAATGGCCTTACAATACTATATATATATACAATTTATATGTATATATATATATATAATTATATATAATTATATAATAGTTTTTTCTTATCTGCTGGTTGTATTAGTGTTGAAAAATATTAGAGAAATCCATACCTGGGCCCATTGTGCGAATTGATGTTCTGAAGTTAGCGGGGCATGATAGTCCTGCGCTTGGTGATGGATGATTATAATGATTAGAAATATCTGAAGATAGCATCAACTGACACAAATTGACCCATTAGCCTGCCAAAGCAAGGTGTGATTTGGACAGGAATCGTGAAAAAATGTTCAAAATGACCGGATCTGGGTTTCTGAGTTTGTCCAATTGAATCCAAGATTCTGTACACAAGGTCACGAAAAATGAAGTAGTTGAAGAAGTAGGTCTGGTAAATGATCCTTTTCGCGGCGTCGCGAGCAAGGGACAACCAGCGATCAGATGTGCCATGGTCAAGTTGAGGGATAGGTTATGGTCATCCTACCATCCGACACGGGATTCCTTACAGTGGGTGAATCCCATGGTGATTAATGGGGATTAATGGTGATTCATGGTGAATCCCTATGAATGGATTGATGACTCTGATGACTATCGCCCGATATAATTATACAGTTATACAATTCAACTTGTGACCGTGGCACAAATGATCTATTATGATCTGTTTTTAAATCCATTAATTACCTCAATAGCATGAATGGAACACTCCACACAGTTGACATTTCGACCTTGCTAGATGCGTGGCACTACTGGTTCACTTCCCAAATTGGGATCAGACTGTGTTCAGGGCGGGTATGGTTCGTTCAGGACGGGTGGCTATGGACTCATCCCCATCTTGCCAAAATTAAAGTCACGAATATCCCACCAAAAATAACTCTGTGTCAATGTTGAAACATTTAAACCCACCTGTAAATGATGATTGAATCCCCATCAAAGCACTAATCAAAGCACTAATATACCATCATATCTGCCATCTGTCGCGCATGAAAACATAAACCAGCCATGTTGCCACTTTCGGCGCTCCGCAGCCGCCGTCTCCTCCAGCGCAACTGCGCAGCACAGCTCGCTAATGCTTTGGTATACTTCATCAACAGATATGTATATAGCCAGAATAGGATGCTGATCTTAGCACGCGTGCATGCATATGTATTTATATTATATATATATATGTTTGAAAGCAGCGCCTGTCAGGGGAGCACATGGCATTCCATCCAGGGTTTCCATCGCAGCCACCTTGCTCTCCCACGGTGGGATAAAGGTCCGCAAGAGGGCAGACATGTTTGGCCTAGGAGGGCCGAGATTTCCATAGGTTTGGATCCAGTTTGTTCAATCAAACTGGTAGCGGAGCCCCAAGACGGGGCGTCCCTACCTCCAGGTGGAGTAGGACTGTGAAAGCAGCGCCATGGAGTCCAAAACGGACAGTTTTTCTGGTCAGTTCAAACGATTCTCAGGAGAGTCACTGGACGGCAAAGAACTGCGCAAATGGAAGCTATGGTGTCAGGCCAAGATGGCCGCAATGAAAGACCTAGACAAAAGGCAGAAAGGGCCCTGGGTGTTTACCTTGTTGGATGGTCTCGCACTGGAGACGGTGGAGCATCTGACTTTAGAACAGCTCACGGCCGAAGATGGCGATGAACAGATCTGGAAGCTATTAGAAGATCGTTTTCCGGACAAACTCAAGCATGACCACCTAGCTGAATGTCTGAAGGAAGTCTTTGGCCTTTATGTCAAGGACAACGAGACCATGGCTGAGTGGACAAGCAGAGTACAGGAAACCTTCAGCAAGTGCAGGAGAAAGGTGTCAGTGGATTTCCCGTCGGAAGCTCGGGGTTGGATACCGCTCACATGCTCGGGTCTCACATCTGATCAACGGGCCATTGTGGTGGCTAAGACTGGAGGGGACTTGAAGTTTGAGGTGGTAGTCTCAAGCATGCGTTCATGTTTTCCAGAGTATGTGGCTTCAAAGTCCAAAAGGTCAACGGCAGCTCTCATTGCAGATCCTCCGAGTTTTCTGCATGAAGAAGAGCCCTATCACCCAGATCAAAATGACGCAGTAGTGTTCGAGGAGGTGGAGGCCTTCCTTGCCGATTACGGTGTGCTGGCCGAAGACATGACCGGCGAGTTTGATGAAGCTGAGTCTGCAGAGATTTTAGCTGCAAACTGGAAAGACCGCAGAAATGAGATTGCCAGACTGCAAAAGAGTCGCAACTTCAAGCAAGTCACCAAGGTCCAACAGCAGTTTCGTGATGATTTGTCTGAAGTGAAGAAGCGCACTAGGTGCAGGAGGTGCAACAAGATTGGTCACTGGGCCAGGGAATGTACACAGCCAAAGGGAAAAGGGAAAGGGTCTGTGTCAGCTGCATCAGACCGTTCTTCCACAGCAAGTGGTGCCGCCTTGGTGGAACAGCAATCAGTAAATGAGGCGATGATGGTCTCAGAAGCTCTGCTGGTGTCATCACCGGGGTTTGGCATAATCGATTCTGGATGTGGCAAGACGTTGATAGGACAGACCACCCTGAATGAACTGTTTCGGTTGTATCAACAGCGGAACATTGACATTCCCCAGCTCAGAGCTCAGCAGAATCTGTTTGCGTTTGGCAACAACCATGAGGAAATGTCCAAGTATGTGATAAACCTCAAGGTGGGTATCAATGGCCGAATCGGCAATGTTGAAGCTGCAGTGATTCAAGGGCCGGCCCCCTTGCTTTTGAGTCGATCCACTATGAGAAGCCTTGGAGCTACTCTGGATTTTGGTCAGGCTACATTGTCTCTGGAAGGCAGCCAGCCTCAGCCCTTGGAGATCAATAGTGCTGGACAGTTTTTGATCAACATCTTGGATTTCCCTACGTCCGAGACTTTGACATGTGAGCCACCAGCGCTAGATCGCCAGAGCTGTGCGCCCACTGCAGAGCCTCGCGCTGAGATTCTAGCTGGAGAGATCAAGGCCCTGACCAAGCGTGAGGCCCGGTGTGTCCAGTCAAATAAACAAGCTTGGAACAAGGGTTTCTCCAAATGTTTGGTAGCTGAACTGTTTTCTCCTCCGCGTTTTTCCGAAGTGGCAAAGGCAAGAGGTTTTCAAGGTTTGTCTTTTGATATCCAACAAGGAGTTGACCTTCTGAAGAAAGACGTGCAACATCAAGTCAGTGCTCAACTGGATGAAGCCAAACCAGCGCTTCTTGTGTTGTGCCCGGAATGTAAACATTGGGGGGGATGGTATCGTCTTAATCAACATAAGCTACCAATGTGGGTTCAGATTTATAACAAGCAGGTTGCACAGAAGCAGGCTGATTTTTGCATTCAGCAGGCAAAGCGCCAGCTCAAGCGGGGTGGCAGGGTGCTGATCGAGCATCCATGGAGCTCAAGCCTCTGGAAGTACCCGCCAATGGCCAAGTTGCTGAACCAAATGCATCTCTGCCGTGCCAATATGTGTGCCTACGGCCTCAAATGCCCAGACAGCGGAAAGCCCATTTTGAAACCAACGGGCCTTGCTGTGTCACATGCCGACATGATTGCACTTGCTGCCGAATGTCCAGGACACCATAGCCATAAGGTAATCGAAGGTAGATGCAGCGATGGAAACAATCTCAGTAGCTTCACTGCCAAATACACCACAGGTTTTGTAACCAAATGGCTTAGTTGTGTAATGCCCAATGACTCCTCCCACTTGTGCTGTTTTGCCCATGTGCAGGAAGTAGCGATGACGGAGCATCCGACGCCTCTCAATCATGCACTTCCGAGTGAGTGCCTAGCCAATGAAGAGGTGCCTGTAGATCAGATTCGACAGTCTCTGAAACGACTGCACAACAACCTAGGTCACCCAGATGTGACAAACATGGTGCGCATTTTGCGTAATGCTGGAGCGTCAAGCCGTGCCATTGCCGAAGCCCGCAGTTTTTCATGTGAAATTTGCACACAACGGCAAAGACCAACACCATGCCTTCCGTCATCCGCACGTAGCATAGTTGATTCCAATCATAGAGTGGGAATTGATGTCAAACTGTTGCCGGGATGGGGGATAAACCAAAAGATCAAGTGTTTAAACATTGTTGATTGGGCCGCCAGTTATCAAGCCATGATTCCTTTCCATGAAACTGAAACTGGAGCTGTTATCAAGAAGTTGTTTCGTGAGAAGTGGCAAGCGTGGGCTGGACCTCCAGTTGAAATGTTGATGGATCCTGCCCGGACGAACCAGTCTGAGATTTTTGTGTCTATGCTGGAAGACTCCGGAGTGCGTGTCTTGACGACAGCTGCAGAAGCCCACAACCAGCTGGGTAAGGTGGAGAAGCATGGCCATTTGTTCGAAGTTGTTCTACAGAAAACTCTCGATCAGTGCCAACCCCAAACCAAAGAGGAGTGGGAACAGTGTGTAACCCAGACTATGAATGCCAAGAATTCTATGTTGAATCATGAAGGTTTGTCCCCAAATCAACATGTTTTTGGCCGAAATCCCAGAATGCCGGATGATCTCATGCAAGAAACGCCAGATCCTGTGTCCGGCACTGCAGCTTTGCATGATAGCCCTTTTGCCAGAGCCCAAGCAATTCGCACAGCGGCCAGAGTATCTCTGATCCAATCTCAGGACAGTAAAACACTCCGGACTGCCCTGAATGCCAGGCCTAGAGCCGAACGCGATTTCCTTGCTGGTGACTTTGTGTGTTACTGGAGAACCCAAAAGTATCAACGAGGGGTAAGACTTGTTGGGGGCAGATGGTATGGGGTAGGCATAGTCATGGGTAAGGTAGGCAGAAACTTGCTGATATATCATCGAAGAAATATGTTCAAGGTGTCACCTGAGCATCTCCGTCATGCCACGCTCGAAGAACGAGCTGTAGCTCAATCCGATGGTAGAGAGTTGCTAGGTATTGCAGAATATGTTGATGAGCAAGGAAACCTTAAGGGTAGTCAATATGTAGATCTCTCACAGCAAGAAATGCCTCCTCAACCGGAGGATGTGCCTGTCTCCGCAGCAGGAGACGCAGCCATGCCTGAAGTGCTTGCCGGACCTGCTGTGGCGGCTCAGCCCTTGCCGGCACATGCTCCGATTGCACCGTCGCAGCCTAGCATCGAAGGTGCTGGAGCCACCAGCCTTGAATCACCACTGGGGAGTGCAGCCGTAACCATAGAGCCTTCTGAGGTGACCGATGAGGTCGTGCATCCGAGTGAGCCTTTTCCAGCTAGTGCCCCTAGGACAACAAATGATCCTTCACCTGTAGCGGATTATGGTCCCATCAGACGTAGGCACTCAACAAAGAAACCTGAAGTGGTGTACAGACCACCAGAAACCATGCAGTCAGATTTGTCCGAAGCCATAGAAGATTTGCGTAGCGAAAAGAGAGCATCCAGCCGCACTCCTAGTTGTGAACCACCTGCCAAGTCATCACGCACTGAAGCAATGCCTGCAGTGGTTAAGACCGTAGAGACCATAGAAGTGTTCCTGGCCAACTTCCTGAAGAAGAAGATGCAGACAGAACTGCACCATTCTAACAACCCACCGGAAGTTCAGGAAGCCATCGATGAATCCAAGGTCACTGAATGGTTGACACTCTTAGATGAGAAACAGGTCATCAAGGTTCTCAGTCCTCATGAAGCTTCGGTGATTAGGAAACGTAAGCCCGACCGCATCATGACTAGTCGTTTTGTCATCACCAAGAAAGTGGAAGATGGGAACACTAGAATGAAATCACGGTGGTGCTTGCGTGGCCATCACGATCCTGACTTGCTCGAGAAAGTCGCTTCGGGTAAGTGTCATTCACCGACCCTGGCACAACTGAGTAAAAACATTCTCTTGCAGCTGTTGGTTAGTTCAGATGGGAAATGAATCTCGGGGACATCAAAGGAGGCTTTCTTGAAGCTGACGTGAAAGCTCAATGCACTGCGAAGCCGGTGTACTCTGAGCTACCACCTGGCGGAGTTCCTGGAGTGCCATCAGGCAGCCTTGTTCAGATTTTGGGGAACATTTATGGAGCAAACGATGCACCCCATAACTGGTACATGGAGTTTGATCGGGTGGCTCAGCAATGTGGCTTCATCAAATCCAAGTTTGACAGTTGTTTGTATTGGTGTTTTGGCGCTGATGGCAATCTGGAAGGAGTCCTTGGTGCACACGTTGACGATACAATCACAGGTGGAGACGGACCCACTTACTCCAAAGCCATAACTGCACTGCGTGAGCGCTTTCCCTTTCGGAAGTGGCGAACGGGACAGGGAGAATTTTTGGGAGTGGAATACAGTCAAGACCCTGTGAGCAAAGAGATAACCTATAATCAGAGGGATTATGCAATGAACATCACCCCCATAAAAATCACCAAGGAAAGATCCCGACAGCCATGGAAATTAGCCACTGACAAAGAAGTTGCAGCCCTACGGGCCGTGAATGGAGCCCTTGGATGGCTATCAAGTCAATCCAGACCTGACCTTGCAGTTCAAACATCACTGTCTCAACAATGCTTTCCAAATCCAACTGTTGAACATTTGTTGTTAGCCAACCAAGCAGTCCGCAGAGCTAGACAACATAGTGACCTCAACATCAAAGTTGCCTTTATAGACCCTGCTGAGTTGACAGTGTGTTTTTGGTCTGACGCAGCCTTTGCAAACGCTGCCAATCACAAAACCCAAGGGGGCTGGCTCATGGCCCTCACCAGCAAACAGTTTGCAGAAGGAGCAGACTGTCCTGTGAGTTTTGTAGGCTGGGAGTCGTATAAACTTCCACGAGTGGTGTCTTCGACTTTAGCGGGAGAAGCTCAATGCTTTTCAAGTGCATCTGGGATAGCTGAATGGTGCATGCTAATTTTGTCAGAAGCGTTGGACGGCCCTTTTGCTTTGCACTCTGTGGATGAAGTTCTCCAACGTCGCAGCCCAATAGGTATGAGTGATTGTAGGTCCCTTTATGATCACTTAGTTACTTTGGGTAGTGGGGGTACTCTGGATGATAAGAGAATAGCCATAGACATAGCTGTCATCCGCCAACCCATTGTGCGAAGTAGGTTGCAACCTCGCTGGACGCCCACAGACCGAATGGTCGCAGACGGCCTCACCAAAGATAAAGGAGAGCCTCTTGATCTTTTAAGATCAGTTTTCCGAAATGCTCGCTATCAACTTGCCGATGAACAACTGGTGCTGGATCGAAAGAAGGAAGAGCGTTTGAGACGTCAGGAGCTGGGTCGCAGTCGTAAAGCAGCCAACATGTCACCATCACGAGATGAAGAAGTTGACATAGAGCAAGTGGATGCATGCCTTTTTGTATGGCCACAGACTTGAAAACATGTGCAAATGTCAGCAACGCTGAAGGGTTACATTGCATAGGGTTCTTTTTCAGAATTGTCCGCCACGAATTCACAGGTCAAACTAAGCTAAGAGTAGAGCAATCGCATTACCGGCCAAGTTTTGACTGTTTTTCACCGAGTACCTTTTTGCTCAACCTTGATTCCGAGATCAGGTAGGATCAGGGCCCACTTATTTTCAGTTGTTTACTTCTGTTTCTTCCGTGTACAGCCATGCAGTCTAGCAGTTCGCCAGTCACTGCCCAAGAGATCGAAGTGGTGAAAGGGATCCTTGCTCGCTTGCATGCTCAGGGCCATACCTTGTCTCCCGAGATGTGGAGCAGTGGCACTGTCGGAGCCATGACAGATAGCAGCAAGCGTCTGCGCGATTTTCCAGAGTCTTCTCTTTCAGATGATGAGTCCTTGCTGGCACCGAGCGTAGCAGCAGGCAATGGTGGTTTTGAGTTGATTCAGGAAGAAATTCCGTCTAACACCAGCGACCGCCAGAAGCCCATGCCTCCCAAAATCAAGTCAACAGAAAAACCCTCTTTGCCGGAGGGAGTGTGCTCTGTTGAGAAATGGGGCATGACAATCTGCAGCCTGCCCAAGGTGAAAGATGAGGCTCCCACGTACTTTGAGATTGGCACCAAGGCCAAGTATCTGGAGTATCGCAATTGGGTGGTGATGAACGGAGAATCCAAGGGTGCTCGATGCGTGGATCTGCGCAACTATCTTCTCTGCAGTGGCGCCATGCAGGCTGATGGTCAGATCATGATCCCAGGCACCAGTGAGATCCGTCGCTTTCGAGAGTGAATTTTTCCTCCCGATCCAATTTTGCGTTTCTCTGCATGAGGAATTTTGAGAAGAGACAGTGTTTGCTCAGCTACCACCTGACCTTTTGTGCTGCCATATAAATGAGCTGGTATGCTCATGAAATGCCTGTCAATATTTTGGTATGTCAGACTCTTTTACGAAGAGAGAGGAGTTTGAAAGCAGCGCCTGTCAGGGGAGCACATGGCATTCCATCCAGGGTTTCCATCGCAGCCACCTTGCTCTCCCACGGTGGGAAAAAGGTCCGCAAGAGGGCAGACATGTTTGGCCTAGGAGGGCCGAGATTTCCATAGGTTTGGATCCAGTTTGTTCAATCAAATATGTATGTCTATGTATGTCTATGTATGTCTATGTATGTCTATATGTATGTCTATATGTATGTCTATATGTATGTCTATGTGTATGTCTATATGTATGTCTATATGTATGTCTATGTGTATGTCTATATGTATGTCTATGTGTATGTCTATGTGTATGTCTATATGTATGTCTATGTGTATGTCTATGTGTATGTCTATATGTATGTCTATGTGTATGTCTATGTGTATGTCTATATGTATGTCTATATGTATGTCTATATGTATGTCTATGTGTATGTCTATATGTATGTCTATGTGTATGTCTATGTGTATGTCTATATGTATGTCTATGTGTATGTCTATGTGTATGTCTATGTATGTCTATATGTATGTCTATGTGTATGTCTATGTATATGTCTATGTGTATGTCTATGTGTATGTCTATGTATGTCTATGTATATGTCTATGTTTATGTCTATGTGTATGTCTATATGTATGTCTATATGTATGTCTATATGTATGTCTATGTGCATGTCTATGTGTATGTCTATGTATATGTCTATGTGTATGTCTATGTGTATGTCTATGTGTATGTCTATGTGTATGTCTATGTGTATGTCTATGTCTATGTGTATGTCTATGTATATGTCTATGTGTATGTCTATGTGTATGTCTATGTGTATGTCTATGTGTATGTCTATGTGTATGTCTATGTATGTCTATGTGTATGTCTATATGTATGTCTATATGTATGTCTATATGTATGTCTATGTGTATGTCTATGTGTATGTCTATATGTATGTCTATGTGTATGTCTATGTGTATGTCTATATGTATCTCTATGTGTATGTCTATGTGTATGTCTATATGTATGTCTATTTGTATGTCTGTATGTATGTCTATGTGTATGTCTATGTGTATGTCTATGTATATGTCTATGTGTATGTCTATGTGTATGTCTATGTGTATGTCTATATGTATGTCTATGTGTATGTCTATATGTATGTCTATGTGTATGTCTATGTGTATGTCTATATGTATGTCTATGTGTATGTCTATGTGTATGTCTATATGTATGTCTATGTGTATGTCTATGTGTATGTCTATGTGTATGTCTATATGTATGTCTATATGTATGTCTATGTGTATGTCTATATGTATGTCTATGTATATGTCTATGTGTATGTCTATGTGTATGTCTATGTGTATGTCTATGTATGTCTATATGTATGTCTATGTGTATGTCTATGTATATGTCTATGTGTATGTCTATGCGTATGTCTATGCGTATGTCTATGCGTATGTCTATGTGTATGTCTATGTGTATGTCTATGTGTATGTCTATATGTATGTCTATATGTATGTCTATGTGTATGTCTATGTGTATGTCAATGTATATGTCTATGTGTATGTCTATGTGTATGTCTATGTGTATGTCTATGTATGTCTATATGTATGTCTATGTGTATGTCTATGTATATGTCTATGTGTATGTCTATGTGTATGTCTATGTGTATGTCTATGTGTATGTCTATGTGTATGTCTATGTATGTCTATGTGTATGTCTATGTGTATGTCTATGTGTATGTCTGTGTATGTATGTGTATGTATGTGTATGTATGTGTACGTATGTGTATGTATGTGTATGTATGTGTATGTATGTGTATGTATGCGTACGTATGTGTATGTATGTATATGTATATGTTTATGTTTATGTTTATGTTCATGTACACGTGTCTGTATACGTGTCTGTATACGTGTATGTATACGTGTCTGTGTAGGTGTATGTATACGTGTATGTATACGTGTATGTATACGTGTATGTATGTATGTATGTCTGTCTGTCTGTCTGTCTGTCTATCTGTCTGTATGCGTGTATGTGTATATATATATATATGTGTGTGTGTTTGTTTATCTATATTTATGTATGTATGTATGTATGTATGTATGTATGTATGTATGTATGTATGTATGTATGTATGTATGTATGTATGTATGTGTGTGTGTGTCTGTATGTATGTATGTATGTATGTATGTAGGTAGGTAGGTAGGTAGGTATGTAGGTATGTATGTACACAATGCACGTATCTAACTAAAATATTCTTAATTCGTCAACCTGAAATTAGTTGATTTGGGGGAGGTTCCCCTTGCGAATCATCATTTCTAGTGACATCCATGTGAGTTATTTGTAATTTCTCCAGCAAGTATGAAAAAGGGATACACCAGTCGTGAGGAACATTTGCCAGCACAACTTGCAATCTCATCAAATGTTATCTTAGAATATCAAGATTCCCTCAACATTCCACAGAAATCAGTGGAATCCATCTTGAATGATTTGAATGTCACCACTCTCTTGCAGTAAATCAGCATATCGTCAACCAAGCAATTTGCGCTCCATCTGAGCCAGTCCTCGTCCAAAGATGCACTCACGCAAGGATCGGGCCGGTCCACCACATTCCGCAGCACTTCCCACATTGAAAAGCCTGCCAGGTACAGCAGAACTGGTGGCTGGTTACAACCTGATTCTCATTAGGAATCACTTCAATTTTGAGAAACTAAACAATGTGTGAAAGCACTGGAAAAGCATCCCACCTAGCAAAGTTTGAAAAGTCTCCACTTTTGGTCAACCCCCAAAAAAAGATCGCGCCAAGGATGTCCCTTGAGCCGCCCAAGCAGTTCGGTCAATTTCGTCGATCATCTAACAGGGATGAATGCATATATATTATATAACACAAATTTAGAGGGATGGACCCATTCATATGTCATCCCAAATATTGGTGGGTTTCTTGTTTGAGGATGGAACTTTCCATGCCATGCGCAGTCCCCTGGGCTTAAATGGCTTGATCCATGCCCATGTAAGGGCAGTGTTAAACAAGCCTCTGTCAATCCTTGTGCTGGTTGGTTTTCATAGGGAGAACCATGATACCCCATGTCATGCCCCAGTAGCCCGGCTATTGTAAGCCCCGCATAGTAAACCAATAAACCATCAACCAACCCATCATTTATCAATCAAATCCCCTCATGGTTGGTGGTCAGAACCAACAAAAACCTATGAATGCTGGTCAAATCCGGAATAAAAAAACGATTATACCATAAGATTCTATCATCTATCAACCATATCCCCTGTTTTTTTTGTGTTTTTTACCCATGGTTTCGCCATTTTCGCCCTGAGCCTGAGGAGCTACCTGGAACTGATTCGGACAAGAGCTCCGTGGTGAGGTCCATGGGCGTGCGACGTAACAACTGCGCTTGCTTGGAGATGCCTGGGGGACTTCGGACTCCCGTGTTTGACGGGAATATAATTAATCATGTATGTAAATAAAAAATGTATATGTTTATTGTTTTATCTATTTACTTATCTATGTATCTATGTCTCTACGTATCTATCTATCTATCTACCTACCTACCTACCTACCTATCTATCTATCTATCTATTGCGTATATTTGTCTAAACTCGAAGGCACTGCTCTGGTAGCTGTCTGAAACTTGATAGGGTGGGCACCCTTTAAAGGTACAGTGGCCGATGCTCAAGCCCAAGTGGATGAGTAAAACATTTCGATACACATTTAATTGCTCATTTACATGTCTCATTGTCTCTCAAAATTTGAGCGAGGCTGCTAAAAGGATGCCAACATCAGCACTTGAACTCGAAACGGGTATGTCGCGACTGTGGCACCGCACCCCTTCACGACACCACCGCACCCCACCACCGTGCGTACCACCACTTGTACGAACCAGACGCCCCAACCGCCCCTATACGACTAGGCCCTCCAGAGACAGGGGTTCAGTGCATTTAAAAAGCTTTTCCCTAAAGTGTGTGTATGTATAACGTGTATATATATATATATGTACTGTATACCGTATACTATACGTACATTTAGAGATATAGATATCCAACCATCTGATGTTTGGGACTTGGTTTCAACTGGGATTTCCCCGTTGAATATGGTGACGAAATCGTAAAAAATGGAGATGTAATCAGAATGTAATGGAAATTGCTGGGTGCTTGTCTGTTTGGTTCAGAATGGGATTCCCAGTTCATGGGTTGTGGCAATCCCCAATATATTGGGCAGTATAACCCGTGCCCCAATCACATGTGTATTCTCTGGATCTGGATTCAAGACTCCCCTTCTAATTCACCCTCTCAAGTTAGAACAAGCATGCCTGACATCGAACTAAGAGAAACTAACTAAGCAGCAATACCTTGTTTGAATAGCGTTTGTGAACTAATCATCAACCAACAGGGGTTTTGAACACTGCGAACTGCTAACGTGAAAAGTGGAAATTCTTGGCCATGTTCTTGAGATCCTGGGAAGAAATCAGAAAACGGGGACTTAAACATGAAAAAGACACAAAAAACATCGGCTTTTCGCCTTTTTGCCCATGAAAAAGTCGGATGAAGGACCGATGAGAATAGACAAATATGCTAAACATTACATTTATCTGAGATTCATTGAGATTAACAACAAAAGTCGGCGCTTGCTGTGGCAGCCATTTCATGTAAAGCCCATTGTGGATAGCCACCGTCTCCGAATCCCCGAGCCCACCTGGGATGAAACACATTGGATCCATCAGCACCGCCCTCTGTGCTCCAGCCTCGGCCTGTTGCGCCAGATCCAGACGTGGCCATAGGGGTGCTCCAAACCAGATTTCCCTAGGGGGTAACTTGCCATATTCAAAAGTCATCATGGCTGTGGGATGCCAACAATATCCAACAATAAACCTTTAAGGTCTTTTTGGCGTCATAAGACCCTCGTATCCGAACCCCCACTCTTTGTAGCTTTCAGGATTGGCTGCAATATGGCAGGTTATAATTCCCTTTGTGTTTAAAGTGGTAAGCCCAATCTTAAACCACCGGAGGTTTACCACTTTGGGTTTACCACTCACCCGGGTCATTGCTGGTTAACCCCAAAATTTTAGTCGCTTAACCCCCATGAAACCCCATTGAGTGCTGGTTTACCACGCTTCAGCGCCGAAAGTGCGCCCTCCAACCTCCAGCTTCTGGAGCAGCGCCGATGCGACGGCTGTACCAAAGCTGTGCGCCAAGATGTCTACAGGCTGCCTCCGAATTTGGACCCCTGACTGATTGGACTCCTACTCCCATACTACTCCCATAATAAGCCCCAAGAGTATGAGAAGCGACCATGGGAATGCATTGAGGGTCCCTATAATGTATGACATGAAATTTCCCTCTGGTAATCTGGTCTGTATATATTATGTGCACATATAATTCTAATCAATGGATACCCATGGATACCCTATCTTAAAGACAAACCCACATGAAGCGCCCAGGGTTGGCTGAAGGGAAAATATACTGGAAACCATGGATCTTACTGGCTATACTTCACTTCAAGGATTTGAACCACAGGTTGACCAATCCGGTGAAGATTCGAAAAGGTCCCTCAGTGTTTGGAGGTTCATAAATTTAGGACATACCGTGACATAGCCTTTAGCTCTTGTTGGTACACAAAAGCTGATGCCTTGCCGCCTTGCCATTTGGCATCCAAGACTTCAAGCTAGGTCAGCTAGGTCAGCTACGGTAAGAGAAGTCAGCTAGGCACAGCAGCGCATCTCTGCCTCTCCAACTTCGCGGCGACCGCCTCTGCAATTTGTCTCACCGTCGGCACAGATTGGTCGAAATCGCCACGTAGAGGCACCCGCGTCACCAGCAACCACCTGGGAGCTGGAAACCCGTTGAACTCACTATTGTGTCATCTGGTTCCACTAGAACCACCGAATACACCCATGGAAACCACCATGGAAAACGGAAGCAGAGATTATCGCCATACTGGTAGCTGGACAAATGCTGTTTGGACGGCTGACCAAAAACCAAAGCCCTGATCAGCACATGTCCCAGATACTGTACTTCATTTCAGAACTGTCAATCGACTCCTCTACCAGGATTCATGGAAATGTGGCATGCAACATGATGCAACATGACATAAGCCCAAATAAGCATCCGTGAGTGTTTCCTTTGATCTTCTACGAAGTCCTTTCACTATCTTTCACTATCGTTCACCGTGGTCTTTGCTAAAGAATTAGCTTGGACTCAGAGATCTCGCCACCAAGTTGCCCGCAATCCACAATGATGACCCGCCTGGGGCATGAATCCCTGGTGGCTTCACTGACACCCGTGGGATCCCCGTGGGATCCCCTTTTCGGATCCCATTCCCATGCCTGCGGCCCAATGCAGGCAGCAAAGCATCAAACAGGGGAGAAGCCAGTCCTGCAGCTGTCACTGGGCTTGCTGGGATGCTCCCCTGGCCCACCTTTCGTAGCTGGATGTGAGATTATTAGTACATGGGAACATTCGATGAACCAGTTCTAGTTCTCACAGGGTTACTAGCTGCTTGACAAAAACTGCAATCATAGCATCCGCAGTCCTTCCTATCTAAACCCGCCAGGGAAAGACGGATCTGTCATTTGGCTGATTCCCCCACAGCTTCCAGGCTGTATAATCGGAAGCAACCCCTGCACAAGTTTTTCCAGGCCTCTTCCATAGCCGTGAAGGACCAGCAATGGAGGCTCATCAGCATCACAGCGCTCCCAGTAACCTGTGAACGGTCTGCCAGTGAACATCGCAGTGGTAGGCCATGGCATGTCCCCAACTCATTGCCATTTGAAACAAAACCCACTCTAACATGTATGTCTCTATAAGTAAGACCCAGTAACACTAAGATTTCATTGTAAAGTTGGCATCAAAAATTGCAGTAGGGCGAATAAAAGTAGATGGAAGGTTGTAGTGGCGGTTGTGGAAGACAAGGACGCTCGGGTATTTTGCCTTATCCCTTGGAGACAAAAATGGTCCCTCTCTGCCCAAGTCCAAGTGAAAGTGGCAGAGATTGCATCCAGCCGATGGCTACATCAACATGCTTATACACTTCTGGTGGTGGTCTCCCATGATTCTTGATTGTCCACAGCTATACGAGTCCATGAAAATCAGCACCGGAGTATCAAACAGTCCCATTTTGAAGTATTGTTGGTTGTTGTGTTGTGCCCAGATTATTCCTCCTCGTCATCCGAGACATACATTGGATGATTCTTTGTACTACAACTACCAACAAATATGTGTGCTCAGTACTTGAGGTCTTAAATGATCCTTGCTCGATAGGTCTGCCCGCTGGTGAACAACGATGCAAATGAAAAAAACACCAGTCGTAGATCACGATGCCATAGTGAACTGAAAAGGGAATTTCTCATCGCAAACCATCGTGAAGTATGTTGAATATATCGTAACATAATTCCATAGATTTGAATGGCTTGAACATGAACATGCTGATATGTTGATTTTGCCAACCACAGTAGCTATGTTGAGGTTGTCAAAATATGTTGCAATACCATAGGTTTATGTGCCATGGCTGCCATGGTCAAAACATGTTTTTTTGTGGCTTTTGGGCATCCCATGAAACATGGGAATGTATATAAATTTCCACGGGCACATCAAATCACCAAAAAAATCTCAAAAAGACTCTATGGAATCTGATAACAACTATAGCCATCCTATAACCATCCTATAACCATCCCATAACCATCCCCCATTTTTTGGATCAAAATATGGATCAGCGGATGACACTTCGGGATCAGCGGATCAAGGACCATCAAGGATCAGCCAAGATGCTCAGGTCTCGAATCTTTGGATCCCTGGTCTCCGTAAAGCCTTGCTGCTTCAAGCGGCGCCGCGCCAAGAAGCGTTGCGCCTGGAAGAAGCGAAAGCAGAGACCCTGGGGACCGTGGAGGCGAAATCACAGATTTAGAATGGGGGACCATAGAATGGGGTTGTTTAAGACTAGGGGGATGGCATTTATCAGGATTTATCAGGATTTATCTTCATCAAAAAGGTGAAAAATAACATATCAAATATCATCAAAATATATAGGTAGGATTTTGAATGGGCACCAATTTTGTTAAAGACTCTTGAAAGGTGTGGAAGGACTCACCCAGTGGGCATCTATCAGGTCCAGGTAAAGGTGGAAAAAAGAAGAGTTGCAGTTGCAGCATATTGCTGCATGTTTCTTGCTCATATCGGACATGGAGAAGAGAACTAAATCGAATTTGATTCGCCAGTAGCAAAGAATGAAAAGCTGAACCTCTCTGCGAGGTCTGTTACGAAATGTGCCAAATCAAGACCGTACAATTCTGTTGGCTGTCGCCATAGCTGAGACTTTTTCGGTTCAGCCGGAATAGCCTGAGTGGATTCTGGAACTCTACCAGACGGATACTGCGGGGTCACCAGCAGGAAGCCTCCATGAAGGAACGGAAGAGTAGAGGTTTGTACCATGCCTCCACCTTGGCATTGTGCAAACACACTGCGTTTGACCGCTTGGTCCACTTGGCATCGACTGAGATTGATATACTCGAAATCCATCCAGGTGGCAGAAAATCTTCGGCAATTTCCAATGCTTGGCGCGCGAGAAGCTGAATCATAGCCCATCAAAAAATCCTCCCAAAAAAAGTATGTATAACTTCCAGCAACCAATCCCGATGGGTTGATGCTCCCAATCATGTTCGATAAAACAACTGCTTAATCCAAAGAATCCTCCCAAAATCATGGCATTTCTTCACCAACTGCCATTGCTGCCATCGGTTTTCCGAAATACACCGAGCCACTGAACCTTGGCCATAGACAAAGCAATTGGAGGTGCCACCTGGAGTTGGAGCCCAGCGACATGGCCATGGCTCAACATCATTCCCACCCCAAGTCGCACCTCTGCGGCTTGTTCCGAAATTCCCCAAGGTTGCTTCCAGAGCGGTCAACTGCGGTTGCGTGCAACGGGATGATGATTTTACCGGTTTTCTTGGTAGGTTGAATCCGCTCTCACTGGGATATATTCAGGATATCATACCCCCAAATCTCAACAGATTAAAGTCAGAGCATGATCCAAGCGGAGACACAAACTTGGGACCCGACAGCATCATCCGAGGCCGCGCCCAAATGGCTTTGCAACCACTCGTGCACTTCCTGAGTCACAGGTATTTTCCAAGGTACGACACAAATACATACAAACGCCAAATACAACTTCATCCATCAAATGCCTCCAATTCTTTTGTCCATCCAATGTGTTCTTCTTCCAGACTGTATACTTGTACCTTTGGAAGAGTCTTTGTTCTCAGTGGAGTGTTGCATTCTTCGACATGAGTAAGATGCAGTTGGACACCCACATGTATCCCCACGTTTGTAGTCTCTTTAAACCTATGCACCCCATGAAAGTCTATGTCATCTCACCCATTTTCGATGTTCAACCCAGGCATATCTCAAAGTAGGGTATACCCAGTTTATAGATGTTTATAGCCAATATTGTAGGGAATATGATAAACCAGGAAATGTTGGGCTGTTTCACAAACCTGTCAGGTACCCAAACGCCGGACCCTGCCCCGCCCCGCCTCCCGTGGCAATGCCTCTGGTGGCGCACCGAAGAAGGCGTGCCGCACGAAGCGCGTACAGACCAAGGGGTCCGAGCCTCACGGAACCGGTGACGAGGAACCGACCCTGGAAAAGATTCATGTAGGTCTGTCTGAAAATGGAGTATACCTGTATACCTCAAAAATGGCCATAAAAACAATTTTACTCGGGAAAATACGGCAAAATGATGAGTGACCAGCAAATTTTAGGCTATCCTATTTTCGAAACCCATGTGGTAAAGCCAACGAACCATCCCCTATTTTACCAGAAATGGTATATACATACAGCATCCCAAGTGGGTGGTCCATTATTAGTTTTCTACCACACTAATGGGTTTCGAAGCATTGCTTAGCCATTGCAAAAACGCATTGACTAAACATGCATTAGCCATTGACCAATCCTTTCTTTAATCATTTATGAACTTAATTATGAACCGTTGATTAATCGATTAATCATTGGATACAATGCCACTATTGCAGGGTTAGCCAACTTCAGGATATTTTACAGTACTCACCAAAAAAGGGAACATGAACCGGAGAACAGGAATATTGGCCAAAGACATTGGATATGACCAAAGGAAAAATTAGATAAAATGAATTAAAATGATGGATGGTTGGCCAGCCCAGTCGAATGGTTCATCAACGGTTCACCACTATACAAATAGCCATCAACCTCCCCGATGTTTTTAGAAACCTCCAATATCAACGGTCCCCATGACTGGTGAACCAGGTGGTTTGGGATCACAGGACCACCTGGTTCACCATGAAGCCCTGGTAGAAATGTAGAAACAAAACTTGACTTCTTTACCTGTGGAGCATAAAATGTCAAAGCTTCATCCCCCGCATCTCTTGTTGAAAGATGCTGGGTCAAAATGAACCCAATGTTGCTGATGATGACAATGATGACAATGATGACAATGATGACAATGATGACAATGATGAGGAGGAGGAGGAGGGGGAGGGGGAACGGGAAGATGAAAATGATGTGATGATGATGTCGTATCATGGTATCATGGTCGTGAATACTCTGCTACTTGATGATCATCAATTAACATCACTCGCAGTCGCAGGGGGCGAGGACATTGCCTGCAGATCCGCACCTTGTCCTTGACAACGTGCCAGGCTCATGAAATGCCGGCCATACTCCTGCCCAGCCGACGGAAGGGACCCACTAGATATGGATAGCTGTCGATTTGAAAAATCTCAGTGATAATGTCAATTTGATATGCTCACAACGCGACGATTTTCGAGGGCTGGACAGACATAATCCAATTTCTACTGAACGATATATTCATACAATTAGGGTTTGTCTGAAATGGGGTACTGCCACATCTGCTGGTCCATACTTACCCCATCAAAATGGCCATAACTAGAGGTAGACAACCCATTTTCAGACTTCAACCCATTGTGGTCATATTACGGGATGAAGTCTGAAAACTATTTTCAACCCATTTCCAGACTTCAACTGGGGGTTGATTGCATATCCCATATCCCAATCCGAAACCCTAGATTTTCTCAGCTTCCCATACCACCTCGTCCACTGGTGCGAGCTCAGGGGATGGTGCCTTCTTGGCGCGTCCTGGGACATCCGTTGTGGATTTAAAAAATGCCTACAAGCCAGTTATTAGTTTTAACTAGTTGATAGCGCTATATAGTTGTAGTTATATTGTGTATATATATAATTGTATACATGTATATATATATATATGTATATATATATATAATTGTATATATATATTATTAATAATTATATATTATATATGATGAATGGCATGGGAGGGTATGTCATACTGTTGAACTGCTGCAATCTGCAATATTTTTGTGGCCATTTTTTTCTCCGTAGCCAGAAATGGAGATTCGGAGGGCTCTTGGGACCCCAATGTTGACCCATCGAAATCTGCATCCAAGTGTCGTTTCACATAGCAGTGATGAGCAAAGCCTGACATTTTTTGTGGTGTCCGACGTGTCGTTTACCATGGTGCTACTCAAAATGCAGGGTTTGTAATGGACAATTCTATCAAAATGGATGATTTGGGGGTACCCCCATTTTAAGAAACCCCATTACTTGAGGAATGCTTGACATGACAAAAATCTGCTTGAGTCGTTCGTCCGTCATTCTTTCCTTTAGAGACGAACCATGATTTCGCCCAAAATCTGAATCATTCTGTCCAAAAACAGTCAGTACAGTACTTACTTGGATGTGATCCGATTGGGGTTCTACCCCATCCGAATAGAAAAATATTCAGCTTCTTATTCTTGTTTTAGGAAGATCCTGCCTGAAGAGCCCCTCTCCACACAATGCGCCTGTTCCTTCTGCCACGAAGTATGCACCCAGCACGCGACGTGGCAAATGGTTCATTTGCGAATCAAAGTCAGTACAAAGCCTTCAGAATTTTTGAAGTATGTGTCTCTGTGGAAGGACGCGCCATTGGCATGCAGCCAAGTCACTATCTGTATCTTTGGCAACGCCAGAAAACTATTTCACCAAATGAAGAAAGAGTATGATCACTTGAATGTGTGTAGTTCCTGTGTTCTCATACTGTTCATGACCTCGTGTGAATGATGTCAAGCTTGAATCGAGTGTGCAGCGCCAGCGCAGAACAAGCAAACATTGAATGAAGGATTGATACCAACGGCCATCTATAGGAACATATAGGAACAAGGGCAATGGACTCTTTGAACCAGTTCAGTTCACCATGTGTGTCCATGTTTGGTTGACTGTTTGATCGACTGAAAACTGCAAGGTCTCATTGGTTCCAAACTTCAATCGGCAGAGAGGGACAATAATTCAATAGCTGAAAAGCTGAGAAGCCAGCTACAACATGGTATCGATCATTCATATGATATTCCCAAATATTCCCATGTATTCCCAATTCAAGTCAATTCAAGTGTCTTACATTATCTTACATTGTTATTTTCAGGGTCTACCCCCCTTTGTTCATCACGCCTGGCTGACAGGGTACTGCAATGCAGGACTTCACCCTGAAGGGCATGGTTGTGTGTCAATGCTGGTTCTTATGGATATCAAATAATTAATGGGTATGGGTTAAGAATAAAGACCTGGCAAACCATCATTTGTTTGTCTATGTTTGGTATTAAGTATTGACCATACAATTATTCTTGGGGTACCCAATTTTGATCATTTTTGATCCATAGCCTTATGTTAATCCATTATAATATCCTTCATAATCCCAAGCCACATGTTTGGGTTCAAGCGCAGCTCATCAGCTCATCCCACGAGGTTAGCACCTTGTCTCGAAGGAAGCGAATCGCTGAATCCCGGAAGGTGACGGTGTCGCAAGCCTCGAGGAAGGGACGGTTGTCGCAGTGCAGTAGGCGCAGTACTTCAGCCAACTGTATGACTCTTGACCCTGCAATCCATCAACCCTCTGGACCTTCCATTATCCTGCATCACTAGACACCTAGCCAAAGCCACCTCTATCAGTCTATCATGTCTATCATGGCATGCCAGTCCGCGCAAACTGTTGGACTGCGCTCCCGTCAGGGACAATTATGCACTGGTGGCTCATAGTCTACCTTCTGAGATGAGATGTCAATGCCAGCATATGCCAGCCGCACAGCAACTAGAGGACTTAATGATACTTAATGATTTAATGATCCAGAAAATCCAGAAAATCTAGTGACTCCTAAAATAGCCCCCGTTGTCACAAGAGTGGCGCTGGAGTCTGCGGCCTCTGTGCAGGCAAACAATGGCCCAGACATACGTTTGGTGCCTCCAAGGTGGCGTCATCTACACACGGTGTTCGGCTCACTGGTATCGGGATTCCCCGTTGATGGATTAAATATGATTACCCTCTGGTAAACCTACAAAAAACTATGGGAAATCACAATTTTTAATGGGCAAATCAACTATAAATGGCCATTTTCAATAGCTATGTTAGTTTACCAGAGGGTAAATGATTATAATCCCCGAAGGAATCATCAACCAACAGGGGTCTAGCAGCCACTGCTCAAGTCAGCGACCTGGCCTATGTACCAACCATCTACATCTGGATTGTCCATCCACTCGTCCAGGAACTTCCGAGAGACCTTAGCCACGCTGTGAACGACGCCGTAGCGCCCAGACGTTTGTTGTGGCAGTGCATGACAGGGATCCTAATGTTAATCATATCTCAATCATATACAAGGGTTTCCATAAATGGGGTTAGCCTCAAATAGATTGTTTATTTCATGGAAAATCCATCTATAGATGATAACTAGGGTGCTTTTTTGGGTAATTACCCCCATGACATCCATGACTCAGGAAACATCCATAGATGAATCATATATCAATCATAGGTATCCCCATTCAGGTCCAAGGAGTGGAGTCCAAGGAGTTCCAAGGTCGTTGCGCCACTCGAAAGGAGCAAACGTCCCAAGGGATCTTCCTCTGGACGAATGTTTGTCCACCTGAAAGAGGTCGAAAAATGACACGACTTTGCCACAAAATCCCACTGGGACCTCAGTGGAATCATGTAACATTCTGTAACATCATATAACCAACAATATCCAACAATATGGGATGATTCAATGATAGCGGGCAAATGGATTCCGAAAATTAATGATCAAGCATGGACGGAATGAGATACCCCACCAAACCCAAGTGCATGCGTATCCGATAGCAAAAGATGGAATATAATTTAATCCAATGGGACAATGCCAATCACCAGACAATGTATATCGGGGTGGAACATGCTGGGTTTTTCAGAAACTCTTTTCCAGGCGATCCATCCATATGAACATGTCTGGGATCCTTACAGCATGCGTTCTCGCATTCCCTCCAATGCACCAGCAGAAAAGTGCACGCCGTTACTGAGCGCGGACGGCTTGGGCGTCTGATAGGGCCGAATGGCCCATTTGTGGGTTGGGGTGTCCCGAATTTCCACCCATCACAATCTGCCACTGTCTTCAAAGTAAATCGTTGCGTGCACCGCCACAAAGAAAGTTCAGGTAAAACTTTGTGGGGCAAGTGTGAATTTAGTATGGAGCCCACAGAGATATTCAAAAAAAACACTTGCTCCAGCCAGTAAAGGGCAGAGCTGCCCAAGCACAAATTCAAGCGCCTTTTTGCTCCCAAAAAAGCGCAAACTGCATCCGTTGAGAGCATTTGCAGAGCTGTGCTGAGCAAATTTCAGTCGTGGCTACTACAGTGATGGCCCACTTGGGGCTAGCAACACCCCAAGCACAAGGGTTATCTACTAGTTGCATTAAATGGGCTGAAATTCTGAAACTCCAGTTGGAACAAGGAGCATGGCCCATCACTGCACCTGTACATTTTCAGTGCAAACCCATCTCAAACTCAAAGGCCTAGGTTTCCACCTGCGTCTAGTGCCACTGCACAACACAAAGAAAGTAGACGGTCATCAGATGTCACAGAGGCCGCAACCCAATGGTTTTAACATGTTTTAACCTTTGGAATTCAAACTGAGGAACAACAGCATCATCATCCAGGGTGATGGCACCCAAAGGAATCCAGAACTGAAAGAAGGACATAGCCTCACGTCCACACAAACGTCGCCCTGAAAACAGTGCGTTGCGTTCACATCTACTGACACTGAAGTAGAGAAGCCCAAATGAATGTTTCCTTGGCTGATGCCTCTGCAATGAACAGTAAAAAGCACCATTGCCAAACCGAATAATAAATGAGGAAAAATATACAGTAGATAATATAGCAAAATCACTATTCCTCGATGAAAAATCTTGCAAAAAATCTCCCATGCCCAAGGGTCCGTTTGTGTTCAGAACTCCTTTGCAGAGATTCCCAACGCTCTCAACCTGGCAAAGGAAGTAGGTGCCGAGCACGCCAAAGCTGGGAGGGTCCGTGCCGCATGCTGCTGAACTGCTAAAGCCTTAGAGAATCCGAAGAATTTGGTTCTGGATGGTTCTGGATGGTTCTGGATGGTTCTGGATGGTTCTGGGACCTTGGACTCTGCAGACTCTCAAAATGGGCTTGTCTGAAAATTTGGGGGTTCAGAAAGTTCAATAGCCCAAAATTTAATGGTCTATTTTGAGGCTTCCTGCAGATTCCCCACTTTCAATATTTTCAGACCACAGACACCACGGACAAACAGATCTGCAGATCACCAAGCAACCTCCGATCAAAGCTTCCTGACAGGTCGCCGAGCCCTTCATCACGGTGAGGTTTCGCACCATCACCTTGACTCTGTCGCAAAAGTACTGCGAAACAAAAGTTATGAAAAAAAACTAGAAACCTATAAAATCATATAAAATTTATAAACATGTTCAGTGAAACATAGTGAAAGAGTAAACTGAGTAAACATATCAAGCCAAATTTTACACCTGCCAAAAAATGCAATCATGAATGCTCAAGAACCACAGACTCCCAGCTGCTACTGCATAGGCCAGACTCATTGAACAGTTCCTCCGCGTGGGTTCGGAGAGTTGGAATCCTCTACTACTCCAGTCAGCCAGGACACCTTCAAGATTGTATACTGTATTATACTGTATTCAAACACATCAAATCAACTGGAAAATGAAGTAGGTTGTCCGAAAACCACTGAAGCCCTCTCCTCATCCTTGCTACGATAATGATATATGTCCATTCCTCCGTCGCCGTCGAACTGGATCGACGGGTCCAGCATGCATGGCCAAGCTCCATCTGCCACTCCTTGGAGCACTACTTGCGCTGCTCCTGCTTGGTTGGCATCACTGGTTCGTTGCCAGCCAGAAGCTACACTACAGGCCTCCCCGAGAGATGTGAGACCGAAGGTAAGAAGATTAAGAAGGGGATACCGCGACCATCGGCGCATCGGAGTCTGGCCAATTCGGCCAAACTAAGTGTGCCACCCTTTCTGGTTCCTTTGAGCAATGCCGCTGTGACGATACATCTGATGGGCGAAGCTGAATTTTTTTGCTGGTGTCTGCTCCGGAGGAACAAAACTACAAAACTAGCAATTCATACAGTGTGGCTTCAGCCGGCGATGTAAGCTGCAGTGTCTCGGGCCCCCAACTCCATGGTAGTTGGCTGTTGACTCAGCCCGCAATCCTGATTAAACAGTGGGAGTTTCATGGCACCTGGATGGTTCCTTCCGAATCAGCTGGAATTTGGTGTGTTTTGCAGCACAAGAAGTCGGGAAATTTCTGGTTGTCGAAATCCCATTGCTTGGCCTTGTAGTGCTGGTACAACAACCCACGGATTGAATCCTTGCTGGCCTCTCGAGATAGACATCCGGGTCAGACATTGACAACGCCCCCACCAGATTGCCACATACTCTGTTTGTGGGAGCATTATCGAGTCACTAATGAAGACACTTTTGAAAGTGTGCAAGTGCTGGGCATCTTCCAATCCAGCACTACTTTTTCATGGGTTTGTGGCAAAATGCCATCAAATAACGATAATTTTCTAGTTCATGAAAAATCATCACAATTGGGATTGTGATGATACACGTTCCATTTATTCACGGGGATAAACAAATAATAATTTAAATATATAATCCTATGAATGATGAGAAATTCTGCCATCATTCCAATAATAATCATACAGTCATTTTCCAAAATACAGCAATTGATGAAATAATCCGTAGTAAATCATGACTTCACCATGCACCTTGGACGGGTCGGTGGCACCCAGGATCTCTTCAAATCGTTTCCAGGAGACCTGGAGACGAAACTCCGAGATTTGTCCGTGGAATATGAAAAGATATGGACAAATCTATGGAAAATCTGCGTAAATGTTGTGAAATATGTTGTGAAAAATTATATTTTTGTTGTCACTTCCTTCTGCATCTCTCGAATGTAGCTGGTCTGTGTATTTAAGGCCACGAAATTCTCTCTGCAGCGAGCCTCTGAAGGGTCAAATTCCACCACGAACCAACACGCCTCCAGGAAAGTGTCCGGCTCTTGGGTGATGCGGATGCATCAGATTGCATCAGTGTCGTAGGTAAACAAGCACAACCTAACCCACCAGCATGATACTCCGAACTTAACCAGTGAAAATATGGTTGCAGTAAGACCTAAACTACCCATGTCTGACCTTTAAAGGGGTTCCGGTTACAAGCAGTGTTCAAAACCTTCTGTCATCCCCCCTGTACTAGCTGGCTGATAGGGATTCCCTACTATGGCTTAGTTCATAATCTGTGATAAATCAGTAAGTTATCAGTTAGTATCACCGTGAATCACCCCCTTTTTGTCATATCTCAAGCCATTCACCTCACCAGTCGAACTGAAGGTTTCTCGCCTCGGTGGAGCTGGAAATCTCCTCGACTTCTGTCACATGATCATATGCTTAGTGCTGATTGTCTGATCATACTATATCATACTATAATCAGTTTCGATATGTACATATAATATAATGTGTATATTATTCTCACTACTATTATTATTATCATTGTTATTATTATTATTATCATTATTATTATTATCATCATTGTTATTATTATATATATATACGTCATTATACGTCCATCAATTTCATCGCATGCTTACATGCATCTATCATATTCGCTGCCCAGCATAGCCTCTGACGTGCTCGAATCCCTGCAAAAAGCCAGCGTTGTTATTATATAATTGTCCAAACCAACAAACTCTAACCCTGAACCTAAAATCCTGAAAGCAAAACCCTAAAGCCTAAAGTCAAGATCACTGCGTATAGCCATGTATAGCCAGGGGTTCTGTTTGTTGTCTGGTGACAAATGCATAGCATTGAGTCGGTGTAAGTTTTGGGGCGAACGTCTGGCCTGGCGTGTATATATCGTAAGATATTGTAAGTATACTTAATATACGTATATTATATTTATAGTAAATCTGAATTGAGTGCAAACCACTCAACCACACATAGCTTAGCTGCTTAGGGGCCCACAACCACTGGGTTTCCCGAGATTCCCTGCCAATGTGGCACGAAGCCATTCACCACGAAGACAGACTTATCCTGGGTGCTGATCTTCCCCACATACAACGATGGAGCCTTAGCTGGCGGGGTACGCATTGGCACCAACCAAATCAATGTCTGCTGGACCTCTGGATACCAGGGACTTCAGAAACTGGACAAGGGAAGCCGGAATCATCCACCCAAACAAAGCAGCTTTTCCAATCTCCACTCACGCTCCACAGTTGCAGCACATGAGGAGCTATCTCAGCCTTCACTTCTCACCGAAAAAGAAGTATGGCAAAAAGTTTGCCACATACTCATCAAACTCATCCTCAGGGGGCAGCAGCACAGACTGGTTGTCGATGAGCAGCAGCAGCAGGTAGAAGAGGAACAGCAGCACAATGCCGGTCAGCATCACCAAGATGGTAGGAATGCTGTCCTCCTTGGCAACGACACCTGCCTCGGCATTCAATGGCTTCAACAGGTCAGACAGACCTGTGCGAATACCATAGCCCTTTGGCAGTGGGTCGCGCTCTCCATAGGGTGCGGTCTGCTTGGCGTTGCCAACAGGGAAGTAGCCAGCTTCCGCAGACACGCTCACCTCACGTCTCTGGCTGCCAGGATTCACGAAGCTCATCTGGCTGCTCAGGGCCCACAAGCAGAGGCACGTGGCAAGACCGTAGATCCTTAGTTGCATCAAAGCAGAAGACTGGCTCAGTGCAATTTCTCACAGTCGTAAACTTCAAGTCCCTTACCCAACTCAGATTCCTGCATGACAGATGATTGGCGTGCCATTGCAGGAAGGGCGGATGGGATGGCTCTGTGGATAATTTGAAAAAAGCTCACAGGCCTCACAAGAAAAAGATCACTCCCAACACACCAAGCCAGCACATGTGCTCTTGCAGGCATTTAGATCTCAAAAGCCCTTCAAGCGTAGAACCTCACCTCGTCCAGAATTTCAACAAACCGAACATCATATGGCTTGCACTGAGCAGAAAACATCAGAAAACTCCCTGCACATGTCCCTTTTTTGAAAAAAGTTGCTGGGGATCAGCAAGTTGTACTGCGGGTAAGCACACATGCCGACAAGGCAAATGCAAGAACTTTGAATTTTGAACAAGTGAGTTCCAGCCAGAGTCATTACTCTCACCTCTCACTGAATCAGCGTGGCCCCGTTTTCTACCTCACTTCTCACCGAAGAAGAAGTATGGGAGGAAGTTGGCCACATACTCATCAAACTCATCCTCAGGGGGCAGCAGCACAGACTGGTTGTCGATGAGCAGCAGCAGCAGGTAGAAGAGGAACAGCAGCACAATGCCGGTCAGCATCACCAAGATGGTAGGAATGCTGTCCTCCTTGGCAACGACACCTGCCTCGGCATTCAATGGCTTCAACAGGTCAGACAGACCTGTGCGAATACCATAGCCCTTTGGCAGTGGGTCGCGCTCTCCATAGGGTGCGGTCTGCTTGGCGTTGCCAACAGGGAAGTAGCCAGCTTCCGCAGACACGCTCACCTCACGTCTCTGGCTGCCAGGATTCACGAAGCTCATCTGGCTGCTCAGGGCCCACAAGCAGAGGCATGCAGCCAAGATCAGGACGCAAGAAGACCTCAGAGTTTCGTTTTGTCTTCGTTCTGACACCCATTTGTACTCTTTGAAACCTTATATATCATATTGTGATGTTGTACTTCTTGACTTTCACTCCAAACCCAAAATGCATGCAAGGCACCTAGACGCCATTTCGAGGGAAAGATCGCGTGAGTTTTGGGGAGCGTTGTGTCGGCTTTGGCAAAAATGGCTGCATCATTGTACTATATAATCCGGTAGAGATGCAAATGGCACAGGATCTTCTTAAAGGGGGTATTTGTTTCCGTCCTGCCAAGCTTCGAAAAGTTTGTCTGCAAGTTTTTTCTGTAGTTGCCCTTCAGGCGGCAAGCAATACACAGATTTGTCCGAAAATTCCACGAACCGCACATCATGTGGCTTGCACATATTAGAAAACATCAGAAAACTCTCTGCACATGTCCCTTTTTTGAAAAAGTTGCCGGGGAGCAGCAAGTTGTACTGCAGGTAAGCACACATGCCGACAAGGCAAATGCAAGAACTTTGAACTTTGAACAAGTGAGTTCCAGCCAGAGTCATTACTCTCACCTCTCACTGAATCAGCGTGGCCCCGTTTTCTACCTCACTTCTCACCGAAGAAGAAGTATGGGAGGAAGTTGGCCACATACTCATCAAACTCATCCTCAGGGGGCAGCAGCACAGACTGGTTGTCGATGAGCAGCAGCAGCAGGTAGAAGAGGAACAGCAGCACAATGCCAGTCAGCATCACCAAGATGGTAGGAATGCTGTCTTCCTTGGCAACGACACCTGCCTCAGCATTCAGTGGCTTCAACAGGTCAGACAGACCTGTGCGAATACCATAGCCCGCTGGCAATGGGTCGCGCTCTCCATAGGGTGCGGTCTGCTTGGCGTTGCCAACAGGGAAGTAGCCAGCTTCCGCAGACACGCTCACCTCACGTCTCTGGCTGCCAGGATTCACGAAGCTCATCTGGCTGCTCAGGGCCCACAAGCAGAGGCATGCAGCCAAGATCAGGACGCAAGAAGACCTCAGAGTTTCGTTTTGTCTTCGTTCTGACACCCATTTGTACTCTTTGAAACCTTATATATCATATTGTGATGTTGTACTTCTTGACTTTCACTCCAAACTCAAAATGCATGCAAGGCACCTAGACGCCATTTCGAGGGAAAGATCGCGTGAGTTTTGGGGAGCGTTGTGTCGGCTTTGGCAAAAATGGCTGCATCATTGTATTATATAATCCGGTAGAGATGCAAATGGCACAGGATCTTCTTAAAGGGGGTATTTGTTTCCGTCCTGCCAAGCTTCGAAAAGTTTGTCTGCAAGTTTTTTCTGTAGTTGCCCTTCAGGCGGCAAGCAATACACAGATTTGTCCGAAAATTCCACGAACCGCACATCATGTGGCTTGCACATATTAGAAAACATCAGAAAACTCTCTGCACATGTCCCTTTTTTGAAAAAGTTGCCGGGGAGCAGCAAGTTGTACTGCGGGTAAGCACACATGCCGACAAGGCAAATGCAAGAACTTTGAACTTTGAACAAGTGAGTTCCAGCCAGAGTCATTACTCTCACCTCTCACTGAATCAGCGTGGCCCCGTTTTCTACCTCACTTCTCACCGAAGAAGAAGTATGGGAGGAAGTTGGCCACATACTCATCAAACTCATCCTCAGGGGGCAGCAGCACAGACTGGTTGTCGATGAGCAGCAGCAGCAGGTAGAAGAGGAACAGCAGCACAATGCCAGTCAGCATCACCAAGATGGTAGGAATGCTGTCCTCCTTGGCAACGACACCTGCCTCAGCATTCAGTGGCTTCAACAGGTCAGACAGACCTGTGCGAATACCATAGCCCGCTGGCAATGGGTCGCGCTCTCCATAGGGTGCGGTCTGCTTGGCGTTGCCAACAGGGAAGTAGCCAGCTTCCGCAGACACGCTCACCTCACGTCTCTGGCTGCCAGGATTCACGAAGCTCATCTGGCTGCTCAGGGCCCACAAGCAGAGGCATGCAGCCAAGATCAGGACGCAAGAAGACCTCAGAGTTTCGTTTTGTCTTTGTTCTGACACCCATTTGTACTCTTTGAAACCTTATATATCATATTGTGATGTTGTACTTCTTGACTTTCACTCCAAACCCAAAATGCATGCAAGGCACCTAGACGCCATTTCGAGGCAAAGATCGCGTGAGTTTTGGGGAGCGTTGTGTCGTCTGTGGCAAAAATGGCTGCATTCATTGTACTGATGGCCCATTGATGGCGCTGCCAAACTTCAAAAAGAATTGTTTGTAGTTGCCCTTCAAGCGCCCAGCAATGCATTAAGAACATCACTTGATTTTTTCACTGACCATTTTGCAGTGGTTTCTGGCATGGAAACCGAACTCTCATTTTCTCTTTTATATTGCGGTTATAAATCAAATGTCTACAACGATTGGTTACGATTTAAAGAAATCTTCCAAGAAGCATCAGCTGGCGGCGAAATTCTTGCAAATAGGAACAAGACATTGCACAGGTTCTTCATCAAAGCACTTTTTGATGGCTCACGAGTTCTTGGGCTTTCAAAAAACGTGTATAGTTGCCTCACTTCTCACCGAAGAAGAAGTATGGGAGGAAATTGGCCACATACTCATCAAACTCATCCTCAGGGGGCAGCAGCACAGACTGGTTGTCGATGAGCAGCAGCAGCAGGTAGAAGAGGAACAGCAGCACAATGCCAGTCAGCATCACCAAGATGGTAGGAATGCTGTCCTCCTTGGCAACGACACCTGCCTCGGCATTCAATGGCTTCAACAGGTCAGACAGACCTGTGCGAATACCATAGCCCTTTGGCAGTGGGTCGCGCTCTCCATAGGGTGCGGTCTGCTTGGCGTTGCCAACAGGGAAGTAGCCAGCTTCCGCAGACACGCTCACCTCACGTCTCTGGCTGCCAGGATTCACGAAGCTCATCTGGCTGGCCAACAGGCACAAGCAGCCCAGCAGCAACGCCGACCTGCAGGGAATATCTCCTCTCAGACTTCATGTTTTTGCCGGCTCAGAGTTTCCTTTGTGTCTGTGTCCAACCGTTCCTACACTCCAAAGATTGCTGTGCTGGGCCCCCGCACGTTCGCTCCATGGCAGGACAGGTGAAGCGAGTGAAGCCCTCGTGAGTTGAGTTTAAAAAGACCTTGACGGCCGACGGCTGCGGAAGCCTCACCGAGATCTGATGGATTGAAGCGACAGATGGGAACAGCAGCAACTCAAGACAACCATCATCGCATCCAACTCTTTGCGGTGCTTCAAAAGTTTCATGTTTTTCTCTGATGGGGAAAAACAAAACAAGTTGTTTGAGTTGATCGCAAAATCATGCTTGGAAAGTATTCAGAAATTGTTTCATTCTGGTGAACTGCGGCATGCTGAGGCTATTTTGCATAGCCTCAACTGTACACCCACCATGGTCACAACAAAAAACCGCCAACGTCTTGTCTTCGTGGCCAAGGATGTGAACAGTGAACACTTTCACAGATCAACTACCGTAGAAGATGTCGCTTGTACTAAAGCTCTCGAAAGCACGGCTGGCACCACTTCAGCACAACAAGCAGGAACCGATGCTCTTCTACCCATCGGTGGTTGACTCTAGCAGGTAGACATGACGTGGCGACATGACCTGGTGACTGGGCTCCCAGCGAGCTTCAGTGACTGGCAGTCCTTCCAAAGGCTGTACATCTCCTGACTGAAAGACTGGTATCGACAGAGTGTTCTTGAAATATCTGCGAGGTTGGAAGTTCTCACCAGCTCTTTGCGAAACTTGTGGATCAAAATGTATCTGTAGAAAAACCTTCCAAAATGTGTGTAATCTCCTGAACCCAATCATGAAACCATCCCAATATCCAACCATCTAGCTGTGTTTTTATTGTTTTTCATCCTCCCATTGCTTTAGGTACATCATATGCTCAATTTCATAAACCTCAGCCGGGGATGGTGCGCCCTCCAAAAGTTGGCCAAAGGTTCCAGCAGGGTGACGCGAAGGAAGCGCAGGTCATGTGCCAAGGAATTGGCTGCACCACAAACTGATCTTATTTTCTCGAATAATCATGTAACAGCATCTAAATATCCCATTTATCCAGATATTTATCCAGATAAATTCGAACAATTCACCAACCTGAAATAAGGTCAGAATGGCCATCTCAGAATTTTTGTTGTGACTCATGCCAAATCACCAGAAATCATTCTAGGACAATGATAAATGGAGGTGTCCTAAAATCGTGTACCCCCAAATCATCCAGCATTAGACCATTTTAGTATACCCATGGTGACTTGGGGTTGCCATTCGGTTCCGCTCCATTTATCGTGGCTTAGAAGCCACGATGGTACCCCAAGCCCCTACGTCATAGCTGCACGGTTCTTCCCTCAGCCGCGCCTCAGCGGAGATCGCCAGTTGCTTTTGTGCTTCCTCCGCCCCCAAGACCGCAGTGCTGGAGAGAGCGGTGCCTGGAGCAATGTTCAAATTTAAGAAGTAATAGCACCAGTACTACCGTGTTACCCGCACGAGGCGGGGCGGAAGTTGCCCGCGCGTGCGTGTTTTGTGCGAGCCTGTTGCACTGCTGCTGTCCAAGAACATGACCTGCACGCGACCCCGGCGCAATGCAACGCCAAGCGAACACTTTCTTCAAACTTCACACTGCGCTCTTCACATCCCGGGCTTCACACTTCAAACTTGCGCTTCACACTCCACACTTCATCCCATCTCAAATAATAATGTGAACTCTTCTCACCTCATCTGACCTCATCTCAGCTCTTCTCATCTCATCCCATCTCTTCTCACATGTCATCTAAGTAAGTTCTTCTCAACTGTTTTCATCTCATCCGAGCACTGATCAACCTTTCTCGTCTCCTCAAAGTTCTTCTCAACTCATCTCAGCCGTTCTGCAAAAGAAAGTTCTTACTGTCACCGAGAAGTCTATTGCACAAAAAAACATTGGGCGCAGAAAGCTTTTGCGCACAGAAGCTTGGGACACAGATGCATTTACACAGCAAAGCCTTTACAAAATACGTTGTACTACAAAGCTTGCACAAAGCACTTCTCCCAGTACTACTTCGTTCTACAAAGCTTGCACAAAGTACTCCCCAATACTACTTTGTACTACAAAGCTTGCGCAAACTACTTCCCAGTACTACTGTCTACTACAAAGCTTGCACAAAGCACGTCCCTGTACTACTTTGTACTACAAAGCCCGCATGTATCTACGCACATGGCGACAGAACATGACAACAATCATGCAGCCATTACACAGCGATCTGCAACCAGAGGTTCAACAAACGCATAGAACTATGACTTCCCAAAGTCACCATATTCCCTTTGTCACCACTGCCCTAGGTCACCACTTCCCTTCGTCACCACCCTTCGTCATAGTCACCACTTCACTTGATGTATTGTTATGCTGTTATGTGATGTAAAGTCTCACACCACCCTTCGTGATGTATTCTTATGTGATGTAAAGTCTCACGCCACCCTTCATGATGTATTGTGATGTGATGTAAAGTCACTCGAATAAAAGTCATCCGTAATTCGGGAGATTGCTTCCCAACTTCCTTTTATTATAGGAAGTTGGAAGTGGGATATTTATGGGATATGTAACACAACCAACAATAATATAATATAGTATAATATGATATGATATGATATAGTATGGTATAGTATAATGTAATATAATATAATATAATATAATATATTAAATAATATATTATATAATATATTAAATAATATATTATATAATATATAATATCATATAAAATATATAATATAATATATAATATAATATATAATATAATATATAATATAATATATAATATAATATATAATATAATATATAATATAATATAATAATATATAATATAATATAATATTATATTATATTATATTATATTACATTATATTATATTATATATAATATTATATATATATTATATTATATATATTATATATATATATATATTGTTTATACCTCTATTTGGGTGAGAGTCTGAAAATGGTGGATTAACGCCCAATGGCCATTTGCATGGGAAGCTGGTGATAAACCAGCGGGATGTGGGGATCAGGCAGACAAACCCATCTGGCAAATAATCTGGATGATACTCGGATCATTGCGCTCACGGGGTTTGATGTTGCCAAATGCAAACCACAGATCTCAGCCCAGCAGTAATCATCCCATAATTTTGAGCCAATCTCGGCCCAGATCCATTTTACCCGGGAATTCCAGGGCTCCAGACTAAAGGTCTCCTGAAAGGAAGCCGCCACAGCTGCATCGCCCTGGGATCTGGGATGGTCTCCATTTGGGGTTGCATCCCAGTTAGTAAACAGCTAACCATGGTGGTATACCCTATTTATCTGTGGGATATCACCAGTTATTGTAAGACTTCTATGACTTCTAAAATCCAATTTCTAAGTGGGATGCACATCCGAAGTATGAAATCGGTAAATCAGTAGCACCCTTGGATGCAGGGGTCCATATTTGGACACACTCAGGTGGGGTGTTCCTTTTGGCATCCTTATGTTGATTCAACTTGGAATGGATCAAAGGCCTTCTCGAAATGGGGAGTCCGTCGTGGACCCATGTGAATTTGGCTGGATTCACAGCCCTGTGTTCAACTAACTGCTAGTCATTCCCGGGCACAAACCAGGAGACAAAGTGGACAAACCATCGCTGTTGGACGCGTCCGCCATGACCCCACAGAGTTCCACTCACCTGGAGCTTCTCTGGCAGACCTTTTGAATAGCGGACCAGCTGCAAGTACTGCAGGAGCACTTGCGCATGTACCGCTAAATTTCACCATACAAACGTGAGAGAAAGATCCAGAGAAAGTAAAGCAAAACGTGTTTTTGATATTCATTGATCGTAATCTCACTTGGGTCGTCTAGTGCTGGACAGCCAAGCAAGAACGAGCTTCGAGGTATGCTGCAGAATTCAATCACTGGATTGATTCAATAGAAATCTTCCAGGAAACTTTTGTTTTTCATCATCCAAATAGCGTCGGGCTTCCTACTTCAACGGGATTCAAATGTTGGAAGCGAGGTGACAAACGCCAGGCTCCTGCGCATCGAACATCTTCTTCTCTGCTATCTCCTGGAGGACAGGAGGATGCATCCGCAACCCGACCTTCTTCGAACATAGATTGTCCCAGAGGCAACCCTCTGAGGTTTCAGATTTCCACCTTTAGAAGCCTGGGTCAAACCGTCAAACCTGCGACTTGGGTGGTTCAAATGCCCAATATTTCCTCTTCTCCAGCCAATGTTTGGGATGCAACACACCAGGTTGTTTTCCCATGGGTCAAAAAATCAACCAAAACTGGAAGTTGAAATACGAAATTTACAAACCATCCTCATTTCCAGGTTGGTGCAAGACGAGATTCACTGGATAAAGAGGCAAAATATGGTAAAATTACCCATTTTCCCCCTGGTGGCTATCATTCACCTCCGGCCTCACCTGAGCTGAGACGGTGCCTTTTTGCACCACAGAGATCTGCGCAGAGCGAGAAGCAAAGTGTCTGTGAAAGCTATCTGGCATAGATAGACTCTAAGGACAGACAGACAGACGGACAGACAGACAGACGGACAGACAGACAGATAGATAGATAGATAGACAGGGATACAGATAGAGACATAGAGGTAAAGATAGAGATATTCATTATTATATCCCAGTTACATATGGGTTCTTGATGATTTGTGATGATTTCTGTTGATTTCTGTTGATTTCCAGCAGCTTCATGGTGTGCCGCAGTCATTATGTCATTGTTCATTCTGCTGGTTCTGAACACAGGATATCATAGGGAGGCCCTGAAATCCTTGAAGGCCTGCGCTCAATCTTCCATCTGGATTCATGCAGGGAGCTGAATTAATTGGGCCCACCCAGATTCCCATGATTCCTTCCTAGACATTCCTAGACCAGACTCACTGCCCTCCTTTTTCTCTCTGGTGCACAGTATCTGACTAGGGCCGGGCTTGGTACATACTCAGCACATCAGCCGCTTGCCATTGAGCCTTCGGCAGTGTTGCACTGCTGCAACTAGGATGGCATCAGGGGCCACAAGGGTCCACAGGGGGTCCGGCGCTCTAAATGGTAAACTCGAATCTGCTGCTGTTTCTTCAGATCATAGCTTTGACTCCAATCTCATAGGGATCAGCTGTTTTTAGTCCAAAAATGTGCAACTGGCATTTAAGGAGATGATGTGCACTTGATGCTTTGGAAGATGGTCCCGTAACAATCGAACAAAATCAACAACACTCCGCAACAAACTGTTCAACCACCGATCATGATCCCGAAAAGAAATGGGAAAAAATACAACTAACTGCGTGATGCAAGGCCCATAGATTCACAAGTGAGCCATGAAAACAAACACCCTTATCCCATCCCATGGAATACTGGTTGGTTCATAGTATCCCCATAATGGCTTGTAGTTATAAAATAACCCGTCTACCGACAAGCAACCATGACCCATCAATCAACTCCCCATGTTTGAAGCTTAAAAAGCCTGTCGATGCTAATCAAAATCCCATAAAATCCAATTGTTTATCTGATTTTTCCATGGAAATGGCAGTAGCACTGGACTTTCGAATGGCTCAACTGCACCTCTGCCTCATCTCACTGGCATCGCTGCCAGTGCTTCCTCGAAGCTTTGCTCACTAGCGCTGAATATCCATCGCTTTCGAAGAGCACCTGGTGGCATTTAGAGCTTCTGTCATAACTGAGTCAGAACCGGATTGATATTGTCATTTAGATGATCTTTCATGAAATCCATGATTTCCAGTGATGCCACTGCATCTCTAGGAGGGAACACAGGCTTTTAGAAATACGTCCAAAGTTTCACCGCGCTTTACCCAAGCAACGCCTCGCAGTGGTTTCGCAAAGCATCCGGCAAGCCCTGGCATGACGGACACCCCAACCATTGGCTTCCTCTGCTGAAACAAAACACCATCCTGGTTATTTTTTTTTTGGGTGGAAACCTATTTTCGTGCCAAACCTATATCAGCAGTTCCAAGAACCCTCTTGACTTTCCTGTTAACTCTTAAGTATTTTTTCGCGGCTACTTTCGTGCTTCTTTCGCGACCTAGGTTTTGGCTTTCGCGAGGGCACCTGCTCTCTTTTCAGCTTTCGCAAAGCTTTGGCAGTGACTGCATTTGCTGGGGGGTTTTCGCTTTTGCGGAGGTTTCGCGGCAATTGAATTTCGCAGATACTTTCGCGGCTACTTTCGCGACCCTTTCGCGACCCTTTCGCGGATTTTGACTTTTGCGAGAGCAGCAGAGTTGACAATTTGCATAAAACCTTGGCAATTCTGCCCTGCCCAAGCACACACATGGGTCATGGCTTCCTCATTCGTGAATCAGCCGACTCCCGTGTCCTCATTGACTCGCAGCTGCCTTGCTCCTTTGCCACTCTCCCAGAAGCACTCAGAGTCTGATGGCCAAGCATAGCGCACATCTCCCAAGGGCCTTGGAGTCAAAGGCAGTGAAGCCTGGTTTTTCACTGAAAAACAAAAGCTGCCAGCAATGCCCTGCAAGCTGGGCATCCCCACCAAACAGCACAGGCATCACCCCAGTTGGCTGCCTGTTTTCGGTCGCCACCGAGGTGTCCATGAAGCACTGAGGGTGCTCCTGGCCTCTTCTGTAGCTGCTTCTCCAACCATTGAAAATACGTCAGGCCCTCCTTGCCATAGGTGGATTCTTCAAGGAGGTCAGGTGTTGGTTGCATCCGTGTAGGTGCAGAAACGGCCTGCCACTGGCAATTCCGGTCTGTAAGTGCGCAAAGGTGTTGTTCTTGCGACTTTGTTGCAGCAATCAGATAACTATATATACTGATATACTACTATTGGCCATGCACGACTAATTAGAACAATGAAATAACATGAAATAACTACGTTACATATGTTACATGCAATTGCCAACGATTGTCTGCAGATAAGTTCTTGCTGGTCAGAGAAGCACTTTGTCAGATGGTCAAATATCAATCGACAACATATTCAAACAAAATGTTGGCCGTTTAACCGGCTTCACCCAAGTTAGCTTGCCCGGGTAGGATTTGGTGTCGTGTTGCATCAGCAAAGATGTCAGCAAATCATCATATTGGATCACATTGGTGTGTGTGTGTGTTCTGTTTTCTCTACGTGAGAATTTGAGCACCCTGTTTATCATGTTTGAGGCAAAAGTTCCGCGTCCCCCGCCATTTCCTCCAAAGTTTTGCCTTCACTGAGTGATCTTCATCACACATACAGTACCCTGCACTTGAAAGTTGTCCAGTCATGTGATAACCCTAATAATCAACCCCAAAGGTCTATGAACTCCCGATATAGTTATTGTCTAGTTCTTTATGATTGATTTTGCCCCTCCGATTTTACATGGATTTCACCATTCTCTTTTGGGGGTTGCAAAACCACACAACGATGGCCAGCCGAGTCCAGCCTCTCCCCGATAGAGTCGCCAGCTGCAGTCCTTCAGCAGCCGCCGCCATCGGGCTCCCGCCGTGGCCACCAGGGATGCAGCGGCAAGGGCTGACAGGGGCTGAGCCACGGCTGGCCTCGCCATGGCAGCGACAGTTCAGGGGGATGGACTGGTGTAAACCGGTGGAAATTGGTATTGGAACAAAACTTCTGGTGGCTGGTGAACAACTGGAAGGTAAACCTTGCCAAAACCTTTGGGAAGCTTCAACTTTGACCCACAAACGATCTTCTAATCTAGAAAGTTGCGTGAACTTATCCCCAGCACCTTGGAGAAATGATGATGAAACAATTGAAATCCCAGGCACCTTGGTGTGGCCCACACAAGCCAGGTAAGGCGGCATCTGGCAGGCCGATCTGAGGCTTGGCTGGCTGGGCCTGGGCCAGGCAGAGTCATGTGGCAAGAAAGAATCCATGGATCTGCCTACATGGATTCCTGTCCCACGTGCCCCTTCCCGCCTCGTCTCACTTGCCATGTCAGTGGCAACATTGTACAACATCAGCGCAAATGGGTGCAAATGGCAGCAAACCACTGAGAGTTCTTGAAAAGAACTTTAGAAAAGCTCCTGACGTGCTCTAAGTCTTTAAGTGTCCAACTTTAAAGTGAAATCTGGAACGAATCACAATGTTTCATCCTTCTTTAGGAAAGCTGCTTGAAGCATTGCACTTTAGTTCAACTCTTGGAGGTGATTGCTGTCTAAGAGCTATTATTGTAAGTTGCTACGTCCATTGAAGGGCACTCATAAGGTGTTAGAAGGAGCTTCTTCGACACGCAGCAGTTGTCTTGAGCCACGCCGCTTGGGCAGTTCATCTGGCTTTGCATTTTGGCCCTTTCCTACCTGAAAGCATGACTCTGTGCCCAGTCATCTGCCTAAAAGCCCCTCCAGGAGAAAGGTCCGCAAAAAAGTGCTGTGTGTCAATGGCGGTCCCCTCCCAATCGCCAGCAAGTTGTAGGGTTTGGAACTTCTTCTATTCCATACGGATCGGGGTCCCTCCCTCCACTGCCTTGTGCACCGTAAAAAAAGACTGGACAAAGCGCTGGGTCTCCTCCAACAATATTGGGGTGATGGTTTTCCAACCAAGAAACAAACCCTTTTGACCCAAAAAAAGGCAAAGGGACGGATTGCGGATATGATATGGTCTCATTGTGTTGGCGGTTCAATTCATATTCCAGGGATGAGTTCATGGCGCATTTTTCCAACAGCCACAGCATCCACATTGTCGCATTGAACGATCCCACACCAAAAAGAGCTGAAAGGACATCCCACCCAGTCCTTGTTGAAGGATGAAGGCTTGATCAAAACGACCGCCTATGGCAGAGAGGATCTGGCAAAGCAGCACACCCTCGAGGCCAAATCGGTCGCCGGCCTGGTTCAGCAAAAGCCCATCGCGCTCGTTGCGCATGACCTGGCGCTCTGGACCGTACGGAGGCCTCTACTGCTTATGAATGGGTCCAAGCAGATTTAATCCCACTCAATTCCTAGTTACGCTCAGTATTGCGCAGTTGGAACCCCATAAATATCATTAAATATCAGGGTGTCCAAAATTGGAGCCACAAAACGACAGTTTTGAATGGTGAGAATGATCAGAAACCATTCAATTTTTGGTGTACTACATTTCTCAGGGCCAGCCCATTTGGTAGCCCCCTGCGCTAACCATGCCCTCACCAGCCTCCTGAACGCAGCTCCAAACTTCATCGAGGCTTTGCTCGGCACTGATCCTGTCCAGAGTCCCCTGAGGATGTACCTCCAGATTATGGCCATCAAAATGAGATTCTAAACAGGATGGAATGAGGTACAGTAGCCAATTTTGAGACAATGACACATGACGAGAACGGAGTATGGGTGGCTTTGGTACCACAAGAACTCAGTACGAACACATCGTTTCAAATGCAGCCACAAACCAAACTGATCACTGAAGACCCAATATGCAACTTCAATTACAGGGATGCAAGCAGCTTGAAATTTCCAGGATATGCTTTATAGATCTTTATAAGAAGTTGCCCCAAATGGGGGATTCATATTAGGATAAATCCCTTCCCCCGTTCATATTGTCCTCCTCATAAGACCTTCGCTGCTAAACTTCTCCACCACCGGGAGAGATCTCGGTGCGGGGAATCGATAACCGGAACGAAACAACGTTGGCAGTTGGATGCTTAGTTCAGTTCTTCATAGTAAATATGTAGTTATTCAACTATTTTTACTATTTTTTGCATGATATTGTTACTATTTTTTGATAGCGGCGAATAGTTCTGGTCACTTATAACAATATCAACAATGATATCCAACTTCCAGTGCAGGTTTGTTTTGTCCCATAACACGTTCTCCCTGCGTACGGTGATGTTCTTGAAAGTCTCCAAGTCATATAGAGTTCTACAGGCTGTGGCCTGACCGGTCCAATTGGGTGCCCACGGCTCTTGTGTGTACGTGGCAAAGCGTTTTCGGATGGAGTCCTTGGCGCAACGCCGAATGGTCATGGTCAACGCAGTAACCCCAGAAAAAGCGGTCACCACTGGTGGAAGACGAACTTTTCTATCTGTTTTCAAGCTTGCCAAGAATGGAGGTCTCCTAAGTCATGGGGGTACTGCAGGTACCCCGAGCCGAACTGGACCATGACTTAGCATTGAAAACCCATGGGTTTTACTATGGGATCCACCATTTTTAACAACCCTCATATGATGACAACAGTGCCACAGCTGAAGACAGCACCAAGTTGTCGTCCGCTCGACCGCTGGTTTTTCCGCGCTCGAGCAGGCGAGCCTGGTCCACATCGAGACTGTGATGGTGATCAGATTGAATGGTGTTTACAGCTACATATACATACATATGTATACGTGTGTATTTGTGTATATGTGTAAATTCTATCATAATATAATATATATCATGCATTGTATACATAAGTATACATGTGTATACTTATATATATATACAATTATGCACACATATTTTCTATATTGTGGTCTCTAGTACACTGCCATTGAGGCCTCTGTTTCACAGACATCTTTAACGTTGCCATCCGGAAGAAAGTTGTGGCCTTTGTAGCCTATCTCAACGCTGTGGGAGCTGAAAAGAATCTGTTCAGCCCACGCTCAACACCTCCATCACAGCTTCTGAACAGTCGAAGAAGATGCAACACTTCAAATCCACCTGTCGCTAGCACAAGGTGCACCAAACAAAGTTGAATGCCGCACATTGGTATGATGTGACTTAAAATGTATCATTTCGGGAGGATCTCAAGTGCAAAGGAACTAAGATGGAGCGAGTGCAGTACTAGGCAAGAAACAACAAGACGAGACCAAGAACGCAATATAAAATACAACAGATCAAGCAAGCTGGCAAAGGAATAGAAAAGAGCACCACTGCATTCGCCTTCTGACCAACGATATCGTTCCATCCTTGCAGATTGTCGAAACTCCTGCAAAATTCCGCCAAAGTTTTTCCGGAATCCCTCAAAAAATGGAAAGGAAACCCGTGCCGCTGTCCTGGGAAAGCCATCAATGAGGTATTTGCCATCCTCCCAGCCACGTTCTTCCATGGCTTTTTGGAGAAGCTGTACCACCTCAGGCTGCCATTTATCATCACCTTACCCCTCAATTTTCATCAACCTGTGGGAAAGGGCTATGGGCACTGGTACTCGATTAAATGCTTGAGAAATGCGTGCGACAAATCAATATATTGCTATGGGTTACCAAAAGAACATAAGTTTTGACCACAAATGAATGGCAACCTTTGGTAGCAATTTCCAAAATAACTTTACTTCGTGTGATCCCCACCATGACATTTATCGATTTGTTACTGGCAAATCTTCTGGCATTCTATCTGACATATCTTCTGGCATTCGATCTGGTATTCTATCTGGCATATCTTCTGGCATTCTACCTGGCATATCTTCTGGCATATGTTCTGGCATATCTTCTGGCATTCTATCTGGCATTCTATCTGGCATATCTTCTGGCATATCTTCTGACATCCTATCTGGCATTCTATCTGGCAAATCTTCTGGCATTCTATCTGGCAAACATGCTGGCACTTTATCTGGCATACCTTCTGGCATTCTGTCTGACATTCTATCTGGCATACCTTCTGGCATTCTATCTGGCATATTTTCTGGCATATGTTCTGGCATATCTTCTGGCATTCTATCTGGCATTCTATCTGGCATATCTTCTGGCATATCTTCTGACATCCTATCTGGCATTCTATCTGGCAAATCTTCTGGCATTCTATCTGGCAAACATTCTGGCACTTTATCTGGCATACCATCTGGCATTCTATCTGGCATATCTTCTAACATTCAATCTGGCATATCTTCTGGCACTCTATCTGGCAAATCTTTTGGCATTTTATCTGGCATATCTTCTGGCATTCTATCTGGCCGTTGAGGTCCAGCGGTGCGCACTGAGCTGGGAAGGTCCCAGGTTTAGGTCCAGCGGTGCGCACTGAGCTGGGAAGGTCCCAGGTTGAGGTCCAGCCGTGCACCTGAGCTGGGAAGGTCCCAGGTTGAGGTCCAGCGGTGCGCACTGAGCTGGGAAGGTCCCAGGTTGAGGCCCAGCGGTGCGGACTGAGCTGGGAAGGTCCCAGGTTGAGGTCCAGCAGTGCGCACTGAGCTGGGAAGTTGGCGAAGAGCTTGGCGAAGAGTTGGCAAGGCGGAAGTGGAGGTGGAAGTTGATGCAGACATGCTCAGAGGCGGAGGAGGAGGAGGAGGCGAAGGAGGAGAACAACTCTGATAAAATCTAACAACCCTCACCTGGCAGGTGGGGAAAAAAAATCTTTCGATTTAGGCAGTCAGTAATTTTGAACCATAGCCAAATCACAGCCAGTTTAAGATTCAGGCAATTGAAACAGGCACCAACTTTCCCTCCTGAAAGCCAGCAAGCACAATGGCATGCTGCATACTTCAGCCAATTCAATGGCGCAGTGAACGGTCGTAATTCCGTCAACGCACAGCATGCAAGGATATGCAAGGCAGCCCAATACCCTCCGGTAATCCAACATGTCAATGGAAAATTTCATCATTGGATGGTTTATACCACCCACAAAAATGGTGATGACTTGGGTATGGTTTATGAAATTGCGTTTACCACATGATTTCTAGACGGTTTCTCCCATGAAATGTGGAAAATCTCATCTTCATAGGTGATTTTCCCATTAAAACCTCAACTAGAGGGGCTTTCCAATTGGAATTGTCCCATGATTTATTGATCTCCTCAAGTGTTTCTCGATACGCTCCAACCCTACAGTCCTTGATGTGGCTCTCTATCAATTCACCCAGCTCTGATCCCGGTCTCTTGCGTTCCTGGCGATCAAACTAAACCAAATGACATGGGTATGAGTCCAAAATCTGCTGGCCTTCTGTTCAACGCAAAATCGCTGGTAGATGTTAAATGCTCATCCACAAAAAGCAGTGTATGGTATGTCCGTTTATTTCCAATATAGAAGGTCTCTGCTCTACACTCTTTTCCGCCGTTTGTTGGAGCTGTTCCTGGCCACTATTTCAGGGAGGGTTTGTCCTAAAATTGTGTCTACTGTGTACCCCAAATCATGGCCATCTCAGCGAAAATGATGACGAATCATCAAATTAGGCATACGAAACCTGGCACAGTGTCAGAAAAGTGTCAAAAATCCCCAAGATGCAAAAAAGCAGACGAAGAGCCAAAGCTTTGTGGAGCCGCTCGGGTGGCTCCAAAAACAAACAGGTTTGCAAAGACGGGGCAGCCATCTAATAGAACGCCGAGCTCAACAGAGAAACAAAAAATGTCAAACATCTAATGTGTCGAGTCCCCAACAAAGGTTGGATGGGGTTGTCGTAAATTAAGGTACCCACTTAATTTCCGCAATAAAATAGCTTGGGGTTTATTAATCCCCAACTTTCAGGTTCACATCCTACTGTGGACTATGTATCACCTACTATCCCGTTATACTAGCATTATTGATTGTACCCACAATATCCGCATAATACTCCATACTATCCCCAATTTAAAAAAAAAAATATGCAATAATAATTAAAAATAAAAATGATAATAACAATAAACATCATACTTTCATTATCCCATGCAATTAGGATACCTCCAATAGTGTCCCATGATGTCCCCATCATCTTCCCCAGCAGCCACGCCCGAGGGGGCCCGCCTCTCGTAGCAAATCGCCCGCGGACAAATGCTGGAAGCCGAAGTTCGCAGCGATCCGCGTGCACCTAAGAGCTCCATTTGGTGGTGCTTTAGGATTGAAAGCAACGGCTGTTGGGGCAGCACATTTGGGGAAATACCTATCAAGAACAATCAATGTGCCAATGAAGGGCGTATTGCTGGGAGTGCCCGCGAAAATAGGGACTGCAAAGTGTTCAACCATA